AAGCCTGGTACCCAGCACACACTATAGCATTTGTCACAGCAACACTTCTTAAGGCATTAGTCTTTTTTTTTTTTTGGTCAGTCATGGGGCTTGAACTCTGGGCCTGGGCGCTATCCCTCAGCTCTTCAGCTCAAGACGAGCGCTCTACCACTTGAGCTACAGCGCCACTTCCAGTTTTCTGGTGGTTTATTGGAGATAGGAGTCTCACGGTCTCTCCTGCCCGGGCTGGCTTTGAACCGCGATCCTCAGATCTCAGCCTCCTGAGTAGCTAGGATTACAGGCGTGAGCCACCAGCGCCCGGCTCAAGGCATTAGTCTTTTTAAATGACTTAAATATTCCTTTAAGTAAAACGTTCCTCTAAGTGGGTTTATCCAAGTATTTGCCTAGGTCCCTAACGCCAAAATTAAAAGATGTATTAACCCATGATCACACTGTGAAGAAAACCCAAAGGAGGCAAGAGTGGCAACTTTAACACTGTATACCAAACACATCTGAGATTGATGACAGAAATGGGCAAGGGAGTATTTAACATTTAGCAAGAACCTGTTGCAAAGAAAACCACTAACCAACCCACAAACAAGGAAGTGGTAGCAGGTTAAGTCTTAAATCTGCTATTAGAGCAAAGGAACAGCACTTCCTATTACCGGACTCAGACCTGCCCACACAGCAGCACTCTGCAAAGACTCTGGAAACAGCTCTTGGAGGCAGACAAGACACATCTAAAGAAAAATCTGAAGAGCAAATGCTTCTGTTTTCTAGAGTATTATTCTTAATTTCATACTTTCAATAGTCACACTAACGAAGTACATTTCCACAAAACATTTGCACATACCAGTATTCTTTTTTTTTGGGGGGGGGGTGAGGGGGAAAGGTCAGTTGTGGGGCTTAAACTCAGGGCCTGAATATCAGTAGTGTGTGTGTGTGTGTGTGTGTGAGAGAGAGAGATGGAGCCTGAACTCGGCCAGGATATCAGGTGTGTGTGTGTGTGTGTGTGTGTGTGTGTGTGTGTGTGTGCGCGCGCGCGCGCGCGCGCCTGAACTCAGCCTGGGCGCTGTCCCTCAGCTCTTCAGCTCAAGGCTATCGCTCTAACACTTGAGCCACAGCATACTTCTGATCTTTTGTGGTGCTGAGGAATCAAACCCAGGGTCTCATGCGTGCAAGGCAAGCACTCTACCAATGAGCCACCTTCTCACCCTATGAATTCCAGCATTCTTAAATGCTTACTCCAAACAGAAAGTTGGGAAGCTAAGTGAAATAGACTTAGACTTGTGCGACAATAATTTGATGTCTAAACCAAGTCAGGATGGACTACACAAGAGCTAAATTGGTGCTCCTCCTAAGCTTTTCAATGAAACGAAGTCCTGTGGGTCTAGCAGAAATAAATCAAGACAAATGCAACCAGAAATTAGAAGCTGCCAATACATATAAGCCACATACATGGAAGAGCAAAATGCAGACTGCTGTGGACAGAGAGGCTGCTCTCTCAACCTCCTGGTGACCAGAGATGGAACTTTGTCAACTGACATTACACTTACAATCACCTCCCACACAGCAGACAGCACCTGTGCTTACCATGAAGCAACATGATTAAAACCAGGGGGCCAAGGTAAGTCTCTGACTCCAATGTGCTACAAAAATGACTGACATTCAAAAGATGAATGTTAACTCAAACATCTCATCTCAAAAGAGCCTATCAAGGCAATTGCTGGAATGCTTTTTGTCTCAGGTGTACAGACAATCTGAGAAAAGGGAAATAACCACTTTATAAAATTGAATGATTTGCAAGTTAAAAGCAGCAATGAATCAGGCATGATGATGCACACCTACCAGCACAGACAGATAGAGAAAAGTGAACAGTGTGCCCAGCATATTCCCATTCCCACAAAGGAGGAGATAAAAGTAAGCTGGTGCTGGACACTGGTGGTCACACTTCCTGGGAGATAGGTGAGAGAATGTGGATGACAGCTCAAGACCAGCCCGGGTAGAAAAACTGGAGATTCCTTCTTAACCCAAAGCCAGGCAAATCCCACACGACATAAGGAGCTAAGGTTGGGAGGATCACTGTACCAAGACAGCCTTGCAGGAAAGACCTTGAGACTCCCACAGACAAAGATGGATTCAGCAGCCTGCACCTGTGCTCCCAGAAACTACAGGAAACTAAAAGTGGTAGAGTGCAGCTCAGGTTCATGCCTAGGCAGGAAGCAAAACCCTATCCTAAAAACAGCCAGTGGAAAAAATAGGGCTAGAGGTGAGGCTCAGTAATATCATGCCAATCTAACAAGCATGAAATCTTCAGCTCAAACCCCAGTACCAGGGGCTGGGAAGGTGGCTCAGTGGCAGAGTGCTTGCCTTGCATGCCTGAGGCCCTGGGTTCGATTCCTCAGCACCACATAAGCAAAAAGAAAAAAGCTGGAAGTGGTGCTGTGGCTCAAGTGGTAGAACGCTAGCCTTGAGCTGAAGAGCTGAGGGACAGCGCCCAGGCCCAGAGTTCAGACCCCATGACCGGACCCAAAAAAAAAAAACAAACAAAAAAACCCCAGTACCACACCAAAAAATGTTGGCACATTAAGCACTATATTATTGTTACATGAACAGAGTGACTATGTGTTCCAGTCAACCAAAATAAGATTTCCTGGTCACGAAAAATAAATGTTTTTCATTTATGACATACTTCAATACACTAAATAAATCATCTTTTTAACAAATCATGACTCAAATGTTTGTATTGAAGTTACTTTATTTTATACCAATTGGCATTCCAGTTGAAACAATTGCAGATAACAAAAGCGTATCACATCACATTCACTTAGACCTTTCAAGAAACTTGAAAACTTTACAGACTTCCTTCCTCAAGGAAAGAAGGGATGTAGGAAGTTCCCCATAACTCCACCCCCAAGTGAGGAATTTTACTTAATACACAGGAAGAAACTGGAAGAGAAATTGAGTGATTTAAATCTTGCAGCTTTTTCCATATAGCACATTTACTGTAAAGACAGTTGATGCGTAACCCTGAAGCCATTTAGCATAAAGAGGATCCTTCATTTCACTTCATTCCACTCTGCCTGTAATCACTCCTGTGGGTGAGAACATGTGGGTGCCAAGGATTAGAGACAAAGGACATGGAAAGGAAGCCAGTCTCTTGGGCAGACAGCCGCTGCAGGAGCAAACGTAGCTGTCTGCACAAAGACACAAACCCTAGAACACTTCTTCTTGGAGGAGATGGTTACTTAAAAGTGACACACAATAGGAGACTTTCTGGTATTTGGACATCTTAGGCACACTGCTACTTGGAAAGGTATTTTTTTTGTTTTTTTCTTGCATGATGAAAGTTTTTGTGTCAAATATGTATGCTATATGTGAGAATCCAAACAGACCCAAACTTCAATAAAACTAAGACCTAGTGCTGTGAGGTCTGCAAGTAACCATATTTTCTCTTTTGAAAGGCAAAGGTCAATGGACAGTCTAGGAATAAGTAATAGTAATGCAGGGACAGACAGAAAAGGAAAAAATGGGGGAGGGTCCTAAATCAGCCCCATTTGAAAAGTTACAGCCTTTGCTGCTTTTCTCTCTATCATATGAAGTCAGTTTAACTTGTCAGTAATACTGCGGGGGCTGAACGTCACTGAAATCTTGACCAAGTCTCCTTACCTGGATTCCTTGGGGAGACTGTACAGACTCAAATCAGCAATCAGTGGATACATGCAGTCTATTCCAGCCAGTGGTGTCACATCCAGCTTCAACTCCACAGGCACAGCCATAGTTCAGATGTGATCACTGAGACCTAAAGCAGCTTCAGTTCAGGTGTGTTGTGACCAGAGAGCTCTTCCGTGATGACATTCACCCTGTGAGGGGCCGGGGACTAGGCACTGCTCTGAGACTATGACATACATGCTGCCTGATCATCCCCAATCCCTACTGGACTTTGTCGCAGAAACCCCTCCAAACCCAGAGCCGTATTCTAAGGTTTAGTGAGCTTCAATGGCTTGGCCAGGTCAGCCACCTGCTTTGCAAGTGCAAATCTGGCAATCCAAAGATACCACTAACTAGTGATCATGTTACCCATGACAACACAGAAATCTCAACACTTTTTTAAAAAGCAAAGAATATTTTGGCTCTTTACCCAAAATGAATCAACCCCTGAGAATGAATCTCTGAGAGATACAAGGTTTCTGTCTCCACACCGTGATACAATCTGTGGCAGGTACTAAAGGGTAGAACAGATTGAAGCATGGAGTTGTATTTAAGATACACGTTTAAATGGGCTTTATAACATAAATCGGCTGAAAGAAAGGTCCATATGCTACTCAGTGGGCAAAGAAAAGGATCATTATTCTGCCCACCTGGAATATAACTGACTTAAGTACAACTACAGAGAAGAGATTTTACAGATGGGTTGTGTTTCAGTTTGATTAATCCTAACAGGTGACATACATGCACCACAGTAGGGTCACAGCAAATACCAGAGTAGGAGAGCAGCCCCTCCTGCCATAGAAGCAGGCTGGACTGCCATGGCAAAAGTCAGCACCCGGTTTAGTCCGTTCAGGCTGTGCACACCCTGTGCAGACTCCATTCTACAGGGAATGCCTGAACAAGTGTTCATTCCCAGCATTGTCTTTTAAGTCTCCCAATAGTATAAAGTAAAAATAAAATATATAAATGCTGTCTATCACCATTTTTATAAATTCTAAACATCTGGATTTGGGGTTTGTGTTGCCTCTGTATTCAGAAGAACTAGAGAATAAAACCACGTTAATTTTCATTTTCCAAACTGCAAAGAGAATAGCAAATTCACCTTATTGAGATCCCAGACACACTTTAGAACTCCACTAAGCAAATTTAATTGGGGCATGATAGGAAGCCCCACAATTTCTTCTGCAGGATCACTCCCCAGGCAGGGGCATATATGCTAACAACCAGGAGAGAGTCTTCAGATAGATCACAGAACAGCATCTATAAATATGCTCTAATAAAAGTAAAATATTCATAGAAGCATAGAATAATTTACCTTTAAATAAAAACTTTATTCATTCCTGACAGGTTATCAAAATGTACATTGTTAATCAAGTAAAAATGGTACTTTGAATTAGCTGACTAGAGCATTATTTGGAAGATTTTTATTTTTCAAAGAGTAACACCCACTTTCAATCTCCCTGTCCACACATTGACAACAAACTTGTATTATACCTGCTTTAAAATCAAACATATCAATTATATGGGCCCTGGTTCACTATACAATGAGCTTTTTCACTTATACTTAAAAATAAAGGTAACTATTATTTGGGGGGTTACTTTCCCCAAAACTTTCAGACACATTTACTCTGCTTCGTATTTTATAAGTGATTTTGTAAATGACATAAAGAATACAGCACATGACTTGCATTATCTGAACACACACATACACACACGCACTCACACACACACAGGATAAAGTGCAACACAAAGGACAATGTCTGTGACATTCACTTTCTCTGTCCCCACAGGATTTTCCAGGGAATTGGGAAGGGCATAGACATACAATCCCACAGAGCACACTACGCTTTCTCACTGACACAGTATTGGAAATCCTTTATGCTTTGCTTCCCCTGTAGCTTTTGTTGCTATAAGGGGAAAAGTCAGCTCCTCAGAGCTACAAACATGTTCCCCGGTGTTTCCCGAGTACACCAAGGTTTTGGAGCATTCTACACTGTAAAAGGAGGTTTCCAATGTCTGTAAGGAGATTTACAAGCATCTGAGTAAAAGTAAGCATTCTACTTGGCAGCGAATGCTTTGACACCAACCACTCAACGTTTCTACAGGACAGTACCAAACTAGCCCTAAAATGTCAGGTTTTGGTTGCATGTTGTTTTGACATTAAATTACAACTAAAGGATGCTTTTGTTCCTGAGATGAACACAATAAAATAAATGAGCTTTCTCTAAAGCTGCTGGCAGGACACGGTGCCTTACGTGCACTCTCACCCTCTTCATGACCAGTCACAAGGGAACATCAATCTTCCCCATGGCGCCATTTCTGAGATTCGTCTTGCCGAACATCTGGTCTAATTTGGTTTCTCATGCCACCTAACACATTTGATGTTGCTTCTGTGGCAACAATGAGAGGTTTCACCACTGCTGGAGGAATCTGGCGCAGGACTTCACCCACAGCACCAGTTACCCCTCTGCTCTCATGCTCCCGAGCAGCTGTTTCATAAATGGTTTGAGCTGTATCTGCAATTCCCTGCACAGAGGGTAGGAGGAGAGAAGAGGGCGGAAAATGACTGGTCAAAAATGTCCAATTATTCTCAACTATATATAGTTAGTACAATTAACCAATATCATGTCTATCATTTACAAAGCAGAAAACCCCCTGCTTTTGAAAGGACTCAGTGTAATGGAAAAATATTCTATAGGAAAGACTCAGTATTGTGTTCTGACAGCAGTCCATGTGAAACCCAGGCAATGTTCACTTCCTTCCTAGGAAACTCACAGATCCTTAGTGATCCCAGAGCAGGTTCTCTCCACAGTGCACCCTCTAATCAAGCTGACCCAGTCAACTACTTCCTACACCGCACCCTTGCTGAAGGACCGCACCTTCTGTGCAACTTAAGAAACAGTTCCACTAAGCTCTAGGAAACCATTTGCTTTGGTTGAAACTCGTGGCCATGGATCTGAAAAGATAATTGTGGAACATTCAATTAAGATAAAGTCAAACAGAACACTTCATGGATTAAATAGAAAATGCTAAGAGCATAAAGCAGGAACCTTTTTGTTTGTTATGTTTTGTTTTAATGATCAGAAACAAGCTGCATTTCCATCTTTCTTCTTAAGATGCAACATTAATCACAACTTCAGCTTTGAGGCTATTGGTGTGAATGTGGTTAGGCAGTTAAATGGTAAACTTCATATGCTGTTTGCCATTTATCTAACTCAGAAATCTCTAAAGGACATGGAGTACTGTTCCATTTGACAGCTTTAGTAACTAATAGAGCTTAAAGGAACTCTGGGTTCTGTAGAGAAATCCAAGACCTCTTTCTCACCTAGAATCTTGCTAACATTTTGGCAAGCTAACAAAGAATCATTGATTCCTAGAGGGGAACACTATGGGGCACGTGCAAGTACATGGTTCAGAAAAACAAGAAGGTAAGTGGTATTTGAAAACTATCTAGAACAGGGGTAGGAAGGTGGCTCAGTGGAAGTGCTTGCCTTGCATGTATGAGGCCCTGGGTTTGATTCCTCAGCACCACATAAGCAGAAAAAGCTGGAAGTGGTGCTATGGCTCAAGTGGCAGAGTGCTAGCTTTGAGCTGAAGGGCTGAGGGACAGCACCCAGGCCCAGAGTTCAGGCTCCACGACCAACAAAAACAAACAAAAAAAGCTATCTAGAACAGCCAGTAAGAGCAATCTTAAATACAACTAAGACTTAGGCTTAGACATATTCCCACATTACCTTCCTCTCCACCAGCATCCAACCAACAATAAACAGAAGGTAGTGTAACAATCAACCAAATTTAGAGATACAGAAGGAAATCCAAAATCAGCCCGTGTTTAGTTGTATGACCCCAGACAAGTCATTAAAATATTATCTACCTCCTATGGTGTTTGTTAGCATTAAATGCAGTGGCTCATCTACTCAGCTGAACAAAGCTTAGAGGACAGGGAGTACTGTACATGAACCTTACTGCCTTCAACAGAAATGCCTGACCTGAACTCAGCAAACTTCCTGTAGAAGGCCAATTAGGTTGTAGAGATTTATGAACCACAGATTATGTTCACATATTCTTTTTCTCTTTCTTTTTTCTTTTGGTTGGTCATGGGGCTTGAACTCTGGGCGTGGGTGCTGTCCCTGAGTTCTTCAGCTCAAGGCTAAGCACTCTACCTCTTGAGCCACAGCACCGCTTCCAGTTTTCTGGTAGTTTATTGGAGGTAAGAGTCTCACGGGGACTTTCCTACCCAGGCTGGCTTTGAACCGGGATCTCAGCCTCTTGAGTAGCTAGGATTACAGGTGTGAGCCATCGATGCCCAGCTTTGTTTTCTTTTTATAATACTTGTTTCTGATCATAAAACAGGTTCCTGCTTTATGCAATAAAATGTTGTTTGGCTTTTCATTTTAACTGAATATTCCAGTTATCTTTTCATAGCCAATAATTTAAAATAAAGTGGAAAATTTCCTTGAGCTTTTTATAAGTTGCAAAAACTATCATTAGTGCCAAAACTTATACAAAAATAAGCAGAGACAAGATATTAGCTACAAACTAGTCTGCTAACCCTTGACTTAAAAGATGAGCTATTTGTGAATCACCTGAGATGTTTTTTCTTCATTTCTGACTTATTAATATCTAAATGAAAGAAGTATTTATCACCATTTAGGGACCTCTATTTATAAAGACACTCTAGTACTGAATTAAATCTCACTCTAACTATCCCAATCCATGTTTACCATTCTCATCTCTCTGCTTTCATTTTTTCTACTGTCAGCTTTAGAGAGAGAAAAAAGGAATTTTATACCCAATTCCCTGAGACCTCCAAAGCTACTGCTGTCAGGTGACCTACTGGCCCAGGTCTCTTGGCTTGTTATCAGAACATGACTGAACAACCATCTTTAATGAGATTCTGAAGCATAAGTCTTAGGTGCAATGACTGAAAATTTCTTTGAGTTTCATTAAACTGGGAAACGCCCCTGACAAAACACAGGAAGACCCAGCGGCTCACTGGTATAGCTGTCAGAGAGCAGCTTAGCAATAGTTAATATTATTAATATACTCAGTATTTATTGTGTTTCCCAGAGTTAACGCTTGCCAATTCCCTGAAAGACAAAAATGAATACTTCCTGTTGCTATGTTTTATAGGTGGGGGAACAGGAGGAAGAGGGAAGTGTGGTAAAGTCATGCAATGAAATACTATAAAGTCATTTAAATTACATTACATGTAGACACATGGATACAGCTTGAAAAAATTAAGCTGCAAAATAGTACATGATACTACATTTATGTAAACTTAAAATACAAACACTGGTGTGTTTTGCTCATGAACATATGTAACAAAACTTTTATAAAGTCAGGAACAGAAAATGTGTGCCACCCTCAGGACACGGAGGCATGGGAATAACATGACTGGCCACTCATACAAAGGTAGTAAACAACCCCAATTAAACAGCAAAGTAATGCAGATCAGTCGCATTAAAAGCAGAGGCCAAGCCCACAGGTCCAGGTTTCTGCCCTTCCTTGCAGACTTCTACGTGAAGACAGAGGATCAGTCTGCTTATTGCTCAATCACAACCTCGCCCTCCTCTTTCCCTTCATACAGATATGCCCCAGTCTGCCACTGGCAGCTCCTCTTTCATTCCCAGGAATTTCCTCAAAGCCATTAAAATCAATGACTACTCTGGGTGGAAGCCAAGAAAGCTTGCAGACGAGTTAGAGGCACCAGCCACATACCTCCTTCACAACACTGTATGCCTTGGCCACACCTTCCCTCAGGTCTACTGGCTGGTGGGCTAAGCGGTGATGAGGAAATCTTTTGGTCTTCCTGGGCTCAATGGAGAGGGTACCAGGAGACACCATGTCGTAAGCAGTCTCTGCTGCTGCCTGCATCATTTTATAGGAAGGAAAAAAATGAATTAGAAAACAGTCTGGACAGCTAGGTACCAAAAGTCCAACAGTGCCCTCTGATGGGGAGCAAGGAAAACACATATCCCTACAGACATTTCTAGTCTACAATTTTTGTTACTGGAACAGGAAAGATAATTTACAGCTCCAGTTTGCCCTGAGCTATCTTGTTCAGTCCATTCCTCTCAACTGAGAATACTCAATATATTCATGTTCTCAATGGCAAAGCAAATTTTGATACTACTACTACTATTTTACTGGTTATGCTATCTTAGATTTAGCTATTTTCATATAGAGTGCTTTAAAAAAAACTCCTAATTTAACAATTATTTACCTGACATGGGCAAACAAACCTGATACGTATTCCATTGCCTTATTCTACTAATTAGTAAGTACTAAGCAGTAAAATGAACATGAAAGCCAGATGTGATGGTGTGGTAGTATATGCCTGTAGTCCCAGCATGTGGGAGAATGAAGCAAAAGGGCAGAGAGTTAAAAGGCAGCCTGGAGACATAGCAAGATCTTATAATCTTTAAAAAAAAAAAAAAAAAAGGGTGGGGGGAGGCCTGGGAATGTGGCTTAGTGGTAGAGTGCTTGCCTATCATGCATGAAGCTCTGGGTTCAGTTCCTCAGTACACATAAACAGAAAAAGCCAGAAGTGATGCGATGGCTCGAGTGGTAGAAGAAACTCAAGGATAGTGCCCATGCCCTGAGTTCAAGCCCCAGGACTGGCCAAAAAAAAAAAAAAGGAAAAAGAAAAAAAGAAAGAAAAAAGAATAGAAACAAAATATATAAATTCATTATTAAGTAATATCTACTTTCAACATTTTGTACATTTTCTCAAAGCACAATTTTAAAATAGCTCTTCTTTGTGGAGATGGGGTAGGTAGGTGAAAGATACCTGTATGGTCTGAACCATTCTGTTGGTGAGTTCTAGAGCAGCCATTGCTGTGGAGGTGCCAAAGGAAGCAGCGCCTCTCTGGAACCCTCTGACAATGCGGCCATCCTTCCGGTACTGTTCTATGGGTAGCCAGACCAAGTCCTTCAGGCCTTGTACTAGAACAGCCAACACAAAAAAAGTCAACATGAGCATGTGAGAATAAAACTGCTGCCATTCCAATCCTGGAGGTTTGAACCCCAAAACTAGTGACAAAGTTTTGTGTGTGTCAGTATACATGTAGGTTTTCTAGAAAAATGTTTTTCACATAGACTCTCAATGGCATTTGTAAGCCAAAAGTGTTAAAAACAAAAACAAAAACAACTCACCTAATTGTACTAGTGAATGCATAGGTCCAACACCACCCAGGATTCCTGGCAACTGGTTCTTCTTAATGTCATTAAGCCACTCAGTGATTGCATATGAGAATAACTTATCAACACCTAGTAAACTAGAGAAAATGGCTATTAGTATAAAGGATAAATAAAGTTATGCACTTAAATAAAGTTGTTTCTTTAGTTAAAACACAATTTACCGATCATAAAGTTAATTTTTTAGTCTTATGAAGAAATGGCTCACTGGGTGCTGCTGGTGGCTCATGCCTCTAAATCCTAATTCTCAGGAGGCTGAGATCTAAGAACTGTAGTTTGAAGCCAGCCCAGAAAAGTCGGTGAGATTCAAGTGTTCTAGTGATAGAGCACTAGCCTTGAGCAAAAATATACAGGGACAACACACCCAGGTCCTGAGGTTCAAGCCCCAGGACTAGCACAGGGAAAAAAAAAGTGGCTAAACATTTTTAAGACAAATAAACAAAACAATAAACCACTTAACTCCCTACTTGAATTCTCCTCATTCCTCTCTTCTCTCTTCATATGTATCTCTCTCTACACACCAATATGATATAAACAGATATATAAAGTCCAACTATAATGTTAATAATATCTCCACATCTTAGGTAATGTGTTTCTTGAACACCTAAGTTCTGGCGTAGACTTAACCCAGAGCCTGTAAATTGATACTAACTGCTACTACAAACCATAATCTTGTGAATTTTCAGTTTCTTCTCTGAATAAGCTAATTGACAACAGGAAATTGTTTAAAACACCATAAACTATAGCTATTTTTGATAAATATTATACTCTATCCCAACAACTTTATTTTCTCAGAATAAAAATTAATCCCAATCAGTAAGAATCTTCTCAAAAATGAGTTCTCTGTTAATAACACAGTAAACTAGTTAAATGATGACTGCTTGCTATGAAGTCTCAACTTTTTAGTACATTCTAAGCTAGCTTACCCATGCCGATAGAAGAGCCTTTTCAGCTTCAGTTCAGAGCAGTTTAGCTGAGCCAAGCCAATCAAAATCCCAGCTAATGTACCCTTTAAAATGAAAAAGGCCAAATTACTATGTAAATTAAGGAGAGACTCAACATTTAACACAGCTAAATATTTCTTCTCTTTTTTTTTTTTTTGGTCCAGTTGTGGGGCCTGAACTCTGGGCCTGGGCACTGTCCCTCAGCTCTTCAGCTCAAGGCGAGGGCTCTACCACTTGAGCCACAGCGCCACTTCCGGCTTTTTTCTTTTTGCTTATGTGGTGCTGAGGAATTGAACCCAGGGCCTCATGCATGCAAGGCAAGCACTCTACCACTGAGCCACCTTCCCAGTCCACAGCTAAATATTTCTGAAAGAAGCTAAAATACTGGAAATATTTACAGGAAAACTATACAATATGTACAACTGACCTACAATCATGGCTAAGTAAGTAATATTTACTTTAAAAACAGAATTTAAAAACCTTGAACTTCAGCTTGTGGCTTACTTCTGTAATTCTAGCTATTCAAGAGGCTGGCACTTGTGAGGATTGCATTTTGAAGCCATCCCAGCAGAAAGATTCTAGAAACTCTATCTCTAACCTGCAAAATGCTGGAGGACTGGAGGTGTGGCTCAAGTGGTAAAGTGCCAGCCATGAACAGAAAAAGTCAAGTAAGTGTGAGGATCTGAGTTTTAGACACAGTATAGGCACAAAAACCACAAATCAAACAATAACAACAAAAACTCTTGTACCTCAAATGTCAAACACACACATACACACACACAGTGAATGACAGAGCAAAGTTTTAAGAAACTGAGCTCACTGAAGGACCCCAGTTCAAAGCCAGCCTGAGCAGGTCCAAGAGATTTCAATTAACTAGGAAAAGTAGAAGTGTGGCTCAAGTGGTAGAGTACCAGCCTTAGGTGAAAAAGCCAAGCAAGAGTTCAGTTCAATGCTGTGATGTCAAGCCCCAATGTCAGTGCCAAACAAACAAAACAAAACAACAACAAAAAACTGCATCCAATAGAAAAATCAGGTAATTTTGTAGAACATATCTATGCAGTTTCCAAACCTGATCCATTGAAACATGTTTGCCATGATAATCAAGTCGAATAGGAACTTCCGCAGTGAACCTGAATTCTCTGGAGATAAACAAAGGAAGGGAGTTACTTATATTCAACATTATTGATCATGGTAATTAGATATAAATTCCTGTTTAAAACTAAAGAATAAAAATAAAACCACAAAATAAATCAACAGTTATGGCCTAATTTAAAAAGAATGTCTTTTAGCTCTACTTTTTGGTAAGGTAAATCCGTAGGTGGCTAAATAGATGTCTAAACAGACTCAAACATCTAAGCTATTCATCAGCTATATTAATTAGTAACATTTATATCTCCTTTTTCTCCACAAAACCCTTTTCTTAGTTTAATTTTTATTAATGTCTACTCTTTGAAACATTACTTTGTTTAGCCTTAACACATACTAGAACAAATTAACAAAGGTGAACTTCAAGCAGATTAGTAAGTCAATCAATATAATCATTACAAGAGATAAAAAAGAGAAAAGGCAAAAAATCATTATTCTAGCTTTAAGTAGAAATAGCAAGGTCAGACAAGAATCTCGGGTTTAGCAATTACATAGGAGGCTCTCTACACCTCAGTGTCCTGATAAGTAAGTTTTAATTATGCCACTAGCAAATTTCAGTGAGAATTCATGAGATTAATGCTGGTGAATTCTGGGAGGATGAAATTATAATCAATACACTGATACTATGTGGCAAGTGAATGCTCTTAATATTGGTGGTTACATCCCACTATATCTACAATTTAATAGAATGCTGTGCTCCACCAGTCTCTACAAGAAGCAGGCCCCCACATCAACCTGAACATACATCTCCTTCTTCCTTTCCCACTTTTCTCCACAATAAAACATTTACTTCATTTGTTTGTATAACCAATTCAGATTCTTTTATTTGTCAAACTAGTCAGTATATATGGGGGAGGAGGGAGACTATTATGCCAACCACTGGAAAAAGCACCAAACCATATGGCTTTTATTTTCTAGTTCTGACTCTATCACTTGAGCCAAGCCTCCACTTCCAGCTTTTTGCTAGTTAACTGGAGATAAAGAGTCTCTTGAATTTTCCTGGGCTGGCTTGGAACCTTAATCTACAAATATCAGACTCCTGAGTAACTAGGATAGTAAGTGTGAGCTATTTGCACCCAGTAAAAATAGACTATTTTTAATAGAAAGTTTTCTCAAAACAAAAAGATTGCTGTAGAAAAATAAGGAGGCTCTTATTTGGGAGCAAAAATGCTTAGAATCATCAGAGGTCCCCTATATCAGAATCTAATTTTTTTTACTTTTTCGGTATTGGGATTGAACCCAGGGCTTTTGCCCATAAAAGACACGCTACCAGTTGACCCATGCTGCCCCCATCCCTTTTGTTTCTGAAACAAGATCTTACTAACTCTGCCCAGACTGGCCTGAACTTATATTTCTCCTGCCTCCTAATTAGGTGGGATTATAGACATGTGACACTATGCCTTTGTTGTTGAAGGCTTGAATTCAGAGCCTTGCACTTGACTGGCTTGCTTCTTCAGCTTAAGCCAGGCCTCCAGTCTGACTTTTTGCTAGTTATTTTGGAGATGTAATGCCATAGACTTTTCTGCCTAGCTGGCTCTGAACCAATATCCTCCAGATCTTGGCAGGATTATAGGAGTGAGCCACTAGTAACTTGGCTCCCATTCTTATATTTTATTATCTTTCTATAATATCACCATCATAGAAGACACTTAAAATGGGACAACACTTTCAAATATAACCCTTTTGGGCCATACCTGTTGATCTAATCTTGGAACCTTGATAGAGACAGAAACTGAGTAAGCCTGGGTATTAATTGGAACAAACAACCAGAAACCAGGGAAGAAACCAATGTCCCTGACAACAAAGGGAGTTGTGCTCTTCACCCTTCTATTTCCAGTAATGCCAAAGCTATATTCCTACCACCAGAGCTTAGGAAGGGAGGAAAGGAAGAGTGAACAGGTCTGCAAAGGGAAAAACTCCAGTCACAACCAACTGACCAGATCGGTAAACTGAGCAGTATCCCAGCTGCAGCAGAGGACCTGGGCTTCTCAGAAGTGCTCACTTTACCAAGGAAGAAAGATGAGGAAGGATAAAACAATGATGGGGAAGGTTATCAAAAAAAAAAAAAAAAGTAGGTAGAAAATTTTCATAAGGCAAGAATACCAAAGCTGAAGGGAGTAAAGAAGCAAAAAGCAAAAGGAAGACATGTTTAAGGAGTTGTAAACCCAAGCTAACAGTGATTAGGAAGATAGAGACAGAGAGAAAACAGGAGAAAGGAGGCAGAAAAGGTAATCCGTCCCAGACTCAATGGAGAAATGAATCCCAAACTATGAGGTATGAAGTTAGGGGGGGACTCCATGCAAATAAACCTACTACCAGTTTATGTGCCAATGCAAAGAAAAGCTGATGGGCCTTCAGGACCACTAGTACACATACACATTGTACACAAACTTCACAATACCCAACTAACATTATGCAAATTAACTTACCTAAAAAACATAGGCTGATCACTGAACAACACCTCTTCAGCTGAGAAGTCCTTTTCTTCTACTCCATTAACTACCTCCATGGAATTGGCACTACTGTTTTGAGGAGGCTTTGGCCCAGGGAAAGAAAAAACTAGGTTTGGCTCCTTTGAAGTGCTCAAATGCCTTGGCAAACTGCAAGTGACATCGGCTCCAGGAGACTTTTTAACTGAAAATGCAATGTGTACATTTAAAAAAATAACTATGCTTTTTCAGAGCAACTATTTAAATCAATCTTTAGTTATTTTGTTTTGCCACATTTCATCTAATAAGATGCATTTCTATTACAGAGAAAATTTGCTTCCACTATTTCAATGATGCCTTTTACAAAAAAAGTATGTCATTTTCAAAAGAAACTTGAAGCAATTAAGCTCAATCCAAATATAGATGGTCCTAACTTAACAATGGTTTGACATATAATTTGTCAATCTTGTGATGGTGTGATTGAAATGTGTCATCAGTAGAAATCATTCTTGGACCTTCTAGGACGGTCCTCTCTTGTGATGCTGGCGGCCTTGATTTCATCACTCCCATAGTCACCAGGGGAAACAACCAATACTCTACCGTGAGGTGGGCTGCTGAGCCAGAATGTTCTGAAGATGTACAAAATATTTCCTACTTACGTTGTTTTCAACTTACGATGACTTTCCAGAAAGTCATCTGTCCTAACTAGAGGGTATCTGTACTTACTACAGAATTTTCAACTATATGCCAAATACCTTCTGGATCTGGAGTCAGTAAAAGCTCCACTTCTGTAGAAAGACTTGTGAAGAAATCCTTTAGGAAGAACAAGGCATCCTAGGAGAGAGGTTGAATAAGATACTACTATAAGGAAAGGGGGAAAAGGACATCCATTTCTAAAACCAAGTATCCCAAATCCTCATGTTTTACTCATTATTCAATTATAGTACAATTTATTGAATCCTTACTTTGTGCCAGGCATAGAAGTAAACACACACACACACACACACACACACACTCTCTCTCTCTCTCTCTCTCTCTCTCTCTCTCTCTCTCTCCATTAATTCTCACAAGTCTCACATGAAAAAAACTCATAAAGGCTGGGAAGGTGGCTCAGTAGAGGCACTTGCCTTGCATGCATGAGGCCCTAGGTTCGATTCCTCAGCACCACATAAGCAGAAAAAGAAAGCCAGAAGTGGCAATGTGGCTCAAGTGGTACAGCGCTAGCCTTGAGCTAAAGAGCTGAGGGACAGCGCCCAGGCCCAGAGTTCAGGCCCACGACCGGACTCAAAAAAACCCCACAAAACTCATAAATGCAGATGTTGAGAAATGGAGAAATTTAAGTTGCAAAACTATGGATCATTTCTAAATTGAAATTTCCTTCAGTTTTCTTAGAAATACAACATTCTCATTCTTAGTATTAGTTCTCATTCTAAAGTTATATTGGTAATATTACAATGTTGATAATATCAATATTACTGATACTGCTAACAACAGTATGTGCTATGAAAATTCTTAATGGCTTATTTCTGCTTTTATCACTGTTATATGACTTTACACAGCTCCTTATTTTGAGTGACACTTAAAATTATCCATTCAGTGTAGCTGAAATTATATAATTACAAACAAAAATGTTTAACAGTTTATTTTTCTTTCCCTTTACAGTGCTGAGATGGAACATGGGGCCTTTGCACATGCTAGCAAGTGACCCATGACCCATGACCCATGACCACTGACCCATGACTCTGATCATTGTACTTACATTTACCACTTCATTTTGCCTTCCTCACTCAAACTAACAAATTCATCCTGGAAGCTATAAACAAATACCTACACTTGTTCTTTCTTATTTTTCCACTTAAAAAAAGTTCCTGGGCTGGGAATGTGGCTTAGTGGCAGAGTGCTTTCCTAGCATGCAGGAAGCCCTGGGTTCTATTCCTCAGTACCACATAAACAGAAAAAGCCAGAAGTGGTGCTGTAACTCAAGTGAAAGAGTGCTAGCCTTGAGTAAAAAGCAGCTCAGGGACAGTGCCCAGGCCTGGAGTTCAAACCTCAGGACTGGCACACACACACACAAAAAATCCAGAAGTGGTGCTGTGGCTCAAGTGGTAGAGCGCTACGTTTGAGCTGAAGAGCTCAGGGACAGTGCTCAGGCCAGAGTTCAAGCCCCATGACCAACAAAACAAAACAAAAAAACAAAATTAACTAAAAAAATTCTACATATTTCTAAATATTATTCAAAACGTTACTACTGTACTAAATGAAATGTATAGGTGAATTATAACATTTGATGGTACACCAAGAGAAAGGACCTGATTATTTACAATACCATTTCAATAAATATAAGTGATGCATCTGGGAAGAACATTCCCGATAACATGGCATATGGGTATTAAGAAAGTTCCAGCAGTACTGGAAATGCTCTGATTCTGAAGCAGAGAGTGGATTCATGGGCTGTACATTGTTTTGTGATGATTTACACATGTATACTCATGTACACATTTTCATCACATGTATTAATGTAATACCAAGTATTACAGGTTAACTAATTTAATTATATAGAAAGTGCTTTTTGGCCACTAGATGGTGACATTTCAATGCTATAAATATTTTAACTCAAAGACTTAAAACAAACAAACAACAACAAAAAAAAAAACACCCAGAAACTTTCAGACTAAATTTGCTCTTAAGACCAGAAAAAAAAAAAAAAGACTTTATAGTCTCCTCACCACCTATAATCACCATTGGTCTTCTATCTTAGGGAACTATTACCTACTTTTCCCCAGAATAGTCCGCTGTGTGTCAGCCTGAGGATCCCCAGCATCCTCATTCATAAGAATCCTAGTATATACAACCAGGCACCGATGGCTCATGTCTGTAATCCTGGCTACTCAGGAGGCTGAGATTTTAGGATCGTGGTTCAAAGCCAGCCTGGGCATGAAAGTCCATGAGACTCTTATCTCCAATAAACCACCAGAAAACCAGAAGTGGTGCTGTGGCTCAAGTGGTAGAGCACTTGCCTTGAGCTGAAGAGTTCAGGGACAGTGCCTACGCCCAGAGTTCAAGCCCCATCACTGACCAAAAAAAAAAAAAAAGAATCCTAGTATAGAACCTAGCTTATGGTAGGTGTTCAGGAAATGATTTTGAATCAATTAATGTCTTCCATATACAGATTTCCAAACAGTACAGTACAACAAACACTAAAATGAACACTTAAATAGGAAAGTCAGGAAGTCCTGCTCTCTTCCTATTTCAGACTTCTCACTGTCCTAGTTACTTGACCCTCATCCATTAAACCCTCGTTCTATTTGTATTGTTTATTCAATGACAATCTGTCATCTCAAGATCCAGCTTGTCAATCTCAGAAGATAGACAAAAGTAAGTTTTTCCATTAGTAAGTCACTTCAGTAAAGCTTATCTATTTGTGACCTGGCTTTATTTTCTAAGGCTTAATGTCTTAGGATATCACTTCCCATTTGTCCCCAATGTGCCTATACATTTATTTCTCTAAAAATACTATTTTCCAACTTGGAAGTATAATGATTTATAGTTCTAAACAAGAAATTATGTTCAATATTAAAGAAGTCTACTATCTAAAATTGGGCTTGGTAAGTTTGGTAAAGTAATGCAAAAAAGATGAGTCTTAATCTTTCTCACACTGGAGATTTACAGAGATATATTTTCCCATAAATACTTCCATTTTCTAGAAGGCCAACATATCGGTAAACTAAATTAAAATATGAATATTAAGAGATAATCTTCTCATAATGAGAATCAAAAACCTGTCCCAGCTCAGAAGCTGCAAGCATTAATGTATGGAACGTACTATACTACTATATTTGTTCATTTTCTATGAGACAGACCTGTATTTTGCTTCCAATATAAACATTTAATTTCTTTCTCAAGATACATGTTACTTGCTTAGAATGGACTGTTCAACTATTTAACTAATGAGCAATACACAAACAATATTAAACAAGTGAATAAATATCCTAAACCTGAGCTCAAACTATATAAAATATAGAAGAGGGCTTTGTTATTTTAAAGCAAATTACTTAAGAATATTATGTTCTTCAATTGTTATATGCCTCAGTAACAAAACTTAACATTACTTATGTTAGCACAGTATGCCAGGCACTAATTATTTTTCATAAGCTACTCTTTTAAATACTCACTTAAAAATTATGATATATATATATATATATATATATATATATTATCATTTCTCTCATTTTATCAATGAGGAAACTAAGATTTGGGGAAGCATATAACTGATACAAAGCCACACAAGTAGTAAAAGAAACAGAACTGAACAGCAAAAATCAAGAACTCTAACAACAACAGATGCTGGAGAGGATGTGGACAGAAAGGAACCTTACTTCATTGTTGGTGGGAATGTAAACTTGTTCAACCACTTTGGAAAGCAGTATGGAGGTTCCTCAAAAGACTTCACATAGAACTCCCCTATGACCCAGCAATCCCACTTTTGGGCATTTACCCTAATGTTTACAAAAAAGACCACACTAAAGCTACCAGCACAACTATGTTTATTGCAGCATTATTTACCATAGCTAAGATATGGAACCAACCCAGATGCCCCTCAGTAGATGAATGGATCAAGAAAATGTGGTATATATACACAATGGAATTCTATGCCTCCATCAGAAAGAATGACATTTCCCCATTTGTTAGGAAATGGAAAGGCTTGGAAAAAATTATATTAAGTGAAGTAAGCCAGGCCCAAAGAAACATAGGTCCCATGGTTTCCCTTATTTGCAATATCTAGTATAGGTATGAGTCAAGCGGAAAAAGTCAGAGAATGTGATGTTAGGAAATGTATTTTAATGTTTTTGTTTCTTTCATGCATGTGTTTCTAACGCATTTATAAGATTATTTCTTTGTTGCTTTGTATGTCCCTCCCCCACAGTGTAACCCCCGCTTTCACTATATTTGATGTCAGTATAACATGTGGAGGAGACGGGGACAAACAAGTCGTTTAAGGATTCAGGTGGACCTGTTGTAACAATGAGAAGTACAAAATGTCATGTCAAAACCAGCTTTACAATGTCGGTGTGGGTGGGGGGGAGGGGGGATATGATTGGATGGGGGGGAGGGGGGAGGCTGGGAAGGGAGGTGAAGGGTAAACAAAGGAGGAGGCTGCAATGCTTGGTAAGAAATGTATGCATTATCCTGCCCATGTAATTGTAACCCCTCTGTACAGTATGTTCTCAAATAAAATAAAATTAAAAAAAAGATACAGAACTGAAATCTGACCCCACTATATATATTAATAACAATATTAATATATATTAATGTAACTCCATTAAGTATTTTCCTTAATGTACCTCAAATAAGGCTTCTACGTTTTAAGTGTTCCCTACATGAAAGAAAACTCCAGAGGAATTTGATGGACTGCTTGCCTGAATACATAAAAGTGGTTTTCTTCATGTCTTTCAAACCTAAATATGACTTTTTAAAATAATCATTTATTAATTTGTCATTTTGTCCAGGGCAGAAAACTCTCTTCCAGAAGCTGTGATTTGGACCCAATCCCTACATCACTTAACACAATGAGTCCTTTAGTAGTTGCTGAAAATGTACATCTGAAGTAGAAGTAAGTCCCTAATAACTGGAGAGTGAATAGCAGGTACTTGCTTGTTATCATACAGAGTAGGAAAATGGGATAACATCAAGAACAACCATAGATCAGATTCCAAGTGTCTAATGAATTTGTCTTATTTACCAGAACTCTATGACAGATCCTTTACAATGGAAGTAAAATGTATTCCTAATCCTTGCATGCATTACTCCCCACCACAAACCTGGTCAATATTGAGGCGTAGTGGCATTAATGATACTCTCAAGCAGCATTCCTGTGGTGACCTGCCAGACTCTGGTCGCACATGTAATGCTTTAATTGTCAACTGTAAGTAAAAAAAACACTTTCCTTAATGACATGCTGGTGGGGGGAGGAAAAGAGAAAGAACAGAAAAGAGAAAGAACAGAAAATAAATGGTTGAGGTTGGCTTAGGCTATATAGCAAGTTACGGAACAGTCTGTGCTACACTGTATAAAACAAGAAGTATTTTGTTTACCCCACTTTCCCTCTTAGAAACACCCCCCAGGAATCTAATGCAGATATGGACTCTATTTAGAGAAAAAAAATTGAAACAGTTAGTGTATTTGCAGGCTCTGAAGGGTTTGTGGAACCTTTGAAGCTAATCCATAGGCCCCTCTTCCAAATTCTACAAAGAACCTCCAAATTCCTGAGCTAATCATATCTAGCTTACTAACCTTGATAGTGTTAGAAATATAGAACACTTTCAGTAACGAATTATTTTCACTATAGACTTGTGGTTTCACTTAGATATCAATATATATATTAGCAATACTAGTAATAATGATGTACAAAATACTATCTTTACGCCCTTTGTTTTATTTTTGGCAGTACTGGGAGGGTCAGCTCAGGTGTTTGCTGGCCAGGCAAGAACTCTACCAGTGAATCACCCAAACTATTATTATTCTTTTTTAAATGGGGGAAGGGCAGTACTGGGGTTTAATATTCAACATCTTTTGCTTGGCAGTCAAGCTTTCAACCACTTACACCATGCTACCAGATCTTTTATTTATTGTTCTTCTGAGCTGGTCTCACTAGTTAGCAGAGGCTGGCGTGGAACTCAAGCTGCTCCTGCCTCAGCATCTGAGTGCTGGGAGTGCAGACAAGCACCAGCATGCCAAGCTGCAAAATGAATTTTAAACACAACGCTTACGTAATACATTTAAAATGAATTTGTAAATGAATTTTTCTATTAAAAAGAGAAATAAGCCAAGTATTGAAGGCTCGTGCGTGTAATCTTGACTACTCAGGAGGCTGAGATCTGAGGATCATGGTTCGAAGCTTACCCAAGAAGCAAAGTCCATGAGACTCTTATAACCAATTAAGTATCAAAAAGAGCCAGAAATGGAGCTGTGGCTCAATTGGTAGCATGCTAGCCTTGAGAAAAAAGGTGCCCAGGCCCTAAGTTTAAGTCCCAGGACTGGCACAAATAAAAAGAGGAAATATTTTTCATTTCTAAAAACATTCCCATTCTAATTCTCCTGCAGTTCGATACAGTAAAAACACTCTTCTAAGAACTAACATAAATAATAAAAGTGAGTGTTTAATTCTTACCATGTTGGAATGAGCTTTTCGAGGCATTTCTTTGCTGCAATACAGGTACAAAAATTTATTCATTTGTGATGTTGCCAACCGATCTCGAATTTCAAGGTCCTGAACAATGAACACCTGCCGAGAGACTGGGTGTTCTAAGAGGCTAGAATCACATTCTGGTTTGCATGAGGGGTAGACTTCATGCTGAAATTTCACCTTAACAAGGAAAAACAGAGAAATCTTTACATCTACTTTAAATGTCATTTCCTTTAACTTTAAATTCTCACTTATTTTCATTTGTCCACTCACTCATACCTGTAAGTGCACCCACCTTACAGGAACAAACTTAACTAACAGTTCTTAACTGACACTAATCAAATCAAGTATCCTTTTCAAGCTACATCCTCAACTTGAAGACTAAGACTATATATGTCAACCTATGAAATTGCACGAAAATGAGTCAGTGGAGAAAAGCTCAAGCTCCAAAAGAAGCAAAGATAAAATTGAATACACAGAACTATCATCACCACAATATTTCAATAGCAACTACTTTAAAATATGGCACCTCAAAAGTGACAGAATGGCTGGGCGCCTCTAATCCTAGCTACTCAAGAGGCTGAGATCTGAGGATCATGGTTCAAAGCCAGCCCGGGGAGGAAAGTCCATGAGACTCTTATCTCCAATAAACCACTAGAAAACCGGAAGTGGCGCTATGGCTCATATGGTAGAGCGCTTGCCTTGTGCTGAAGAACTTGGGGACAGCACCCAGGCCCAGAGTTCAAACCCCACAACCAGCAAAAAAAAAAAAAAGTAACAGAATGAAGTCAGGGCATATAAAGTTAGCAGGGTCTGGCCTGTTATCTCTAGATGGTCACAAAGGATCTATTACATATTCAAAGGCAGGTCTAGAACAGGGAGGAAATGTAGTCTGAGCATCACCTGGGAACTCACTTAAACTGAATATTCTTGGGAATCTACCTCACCTACTGAATCAGAAATGCTGGGCAGGGGCCAAGAAGCATGTATCTAGCAAGCCCTGCGAGGGAGTCTGAGCTCACTCAGTCTAAGAGCTTGTACTCCAGAGGTAGCTTGGGAGAACAAAAACAAAAATGCTGTGAGATTTTCTAACATTTAAGAAAAAGAGGTAAGAATTTCATACAAAATCTTTGCAATACTCTAATCCAAGACCTATAGGTGAAGGTTTACAATGCATCAACTTTAGATTTTTCCTTTTACAACCCCATCTTACCTTGCTTAACTGTATTTCCATTAAGAAGTCATGGTTCCTTCCCTTTCCCCCATATACTGCATTACGTCCATGTCTTGTGGGTGTATGAGAAGGAGAACTATGGGGACTTCTAAAAATGAAAAAGATAAAAGATTGCTCAAAAGGTATTTAATAAATGATATCAGGAAAAATAGTAAGACAAAAAGAGAAAGATTACTACCAGAATGTGTCACAAATTTACACTACTATAAATCAAAACCATCGTTTGGAGACACTGAAAATACATTTTTTTCTTTTTCTTTTTGTTAATTACTTGGAGCTACAGAAAAGCGTTGTTATGCTGCTAGAGTTCACATCAGAGCACATACTTGGCAATAACGCCTCTTCATAACTTTTTTGTTGCCTAAGAAATGGATTTTCTTGTCAGAGCTCAAGTTCAAGAAACCCTATAGAAAAGAACTAGTCACGTCAGAAATGTTCTAAAGTAACTTTTAGTAGAAAATATTAAATAGAAATGTTTAAGTGCTGAGCTTTTGTGTCAAATGTCACTGTTCCAACAAGTCTTTTGTGCTATTCCCACATAAAACTATCTTCCCACTATGCCTATGCTTGTCTGCCTAATTCTTTTATATTACAGAACACTGCATATGTCTGATAAGTACTTCTGAGTACCAGTTTCTACTTCGTACTCTGCTGGATGAAGGCTTTGAGAATGAATACTCCCACATATCCATTTCACTCTATTTCCCTCAGTCACATGACTCCTTCTGCAACTGAGGAAAAGGATCGGGTCTTGTTCATTTTTGTCAAGAGACATATGGTAAGTATATGAAACTTTTTGTTACATGAAAATTATCAATCAACATTTTAGTAAATATACAGACAATTCAAAGAAACACACATATGGGTAACTTAAAGTGTGACATTTATACTATACAGTTTTTAATACTAGTTATACTAATTCTAAAGATAAATTCTATGTATCTATGGAAGTATACTGGCCTGCCAAATAAATGTGCATAGAAATTAACTTACATGTAACTTTTAGCTGGAGAAGAAGGGGGCATTGTTCCAAAGTCCTTGCCTCCATAAAGGTGCCACACAAGAGAGACTTCCTTAACCACATACCGAATTACAGGGATAGGAAAGTGCAACGGGGCTTTGCTTGTATCTGTCTTCTTAATGGGCAGACTAAAATAATTGTCTCTTATCACAATTGCATCATTGACCATGATTTTTATAACTGGTTCTTCTTCCTTCTCCTGAAATAAACCAACAGTCAACACTTATTCTGATTGCACTACAAACAACTGGTTATATCTCAAGATTTCTTCAGTCTATTATATTCCTTTGTAAATAACTCTACCGTATGAAATGGATTAATAATTTCTGAATTAATCATCACATAAAATATTCTAATATAAATCAAATTCTGTGTTCTGTATATATCCTCCCATGAGGATTTTTAATAGTTTACACCATGTTTGTCCATGGTGAGGGTGGTGTTGAAGTCAATCCTATGGTCCAAACCAAAATTTGAAAAATTTCTCATACTGACCAAAATACTGCAACTCTAATAGACTTATTTTGAGTTTGACTATTTTGCTCTTGTAAAAACATTTAAGCAGGGGCTGGGAAAGTGGCTCAGTGGTAGAGCGCTTGCCTTGCATGCCTGAGGCCCTGGGTTCGATTCCTCAGCACCACATAAGCAAAAAGAAAAAAGCCGGAAGTGGCACTGTGGCTCAAGTGGTAGAGCACTAGCCTTGAGCTGAAGAGCTGAGGGATAGCACCAAGGTCCAGAGTTCAGGCCCCACGACCAGCACCCCCCCCCCCAAAAAAAAATTTAAGCAGAAGCTGGGTGCTGGTGGCTCACACCTGTAATCCTAGCTACTAAGGAGGCGGAGATCTGAGGATCATGGGTCAAAGCCAGCCCAGGCAGAAAAATCCATGAGACTCTTATCTCAATTAACCACAAGAAAACCAGAAGTGTGGTGTGACTCAAGTGGTAGAGTGCTTGCCTTGAGATCAAGAGCTCAGGGACAGTGCCCAGGCCTTGAGTTCAAGCCCCATGACCGACAAAAAAATAAAATAAAATAAAAAAATAAGCAGGACGTTCTCAGAAGTTAGTACACAAATACAGCCCCTTACTTAGTTACTAGAGGACAACTGTAGTGTGTATATGTGTATACGTGTGTATGTGTATGTGTGTGCATCTCAATCAGCCATCAGCCTTCATCTATATTTCATCTTTCCCAGTGTTTAGACTAACAGCTATATAATAATGTATCTTCCTATCCTTTAATCTCACTATCCTTAGATTCCTATTGCTACATACAATACCTGAAGTTCAATCATCTACTTGAGAAATCATGCAAACGTAGAGCATTCTTCTCTGAATCTCTCAGAGTACCATAAAAACAGTGAAGTGTGAGAACCATTTACAAAGCTCCAAGAGTAAATTATAAAATAATTCTGAAATGCACTTTAGAGGCTAACAAAATCTGAAAGATATTCTCGGGATAACCTCAGGTCAATTTAAATCTTAACATTATTTAAGGTCTCACTAATGATATGAAATTGTTACCTGGATAGATGCTTTTGGTGCAAAAAGGATGCAAAAGTCATCATTTTCAGTGGGCACACCCGTCATTGCATCGCTAATCAAGTGGTGAGTAAAGGAGGGGTAAGTGGGGCCAGGCTCCTGAGACACATTCCCACTCTCATCTGGGAATAGGAAGAGATCTGAACAACACGGTTCCTGAATTTGAGACTTTTCATCCAAAATGCCTAGATAAAAAGAATGCAACATTTTGGCACACTTTGAAACACTGACAACAGTAACCCTTCATTAAGTATCTTAACCATGTTAGACACAATTATTGTATGCTTTTAACTATTCCTTATAATAACCCTATTAATCTGAGACTCAAGAGAGCTAAAGTAACTCACCCAAGAACAAGAGACAGAAATACAAATACCACCAATGAAAAGACAATGATTTGCTGGGCACTGATGGCTCAGGCCTGTAATCCCAGCTACTGAGGAAGCTGAGATCTAAGGAATGAAGTTTAAAGCCAGCCTGGACAGGAAAGTCTACGAGACTCTTATAAACTACTGAGAAAAAAGCTAGAAGTAGTGCTGTGGCAATAAATGAAACTTGGGAACAACACTGAGTTCCAGCCCCAGGACGACAATTTAAAAGCCAGGAGTAGGTGCCTCATGGCTATAATCCTAACTATTCAGGAGGCTGAGATGTGAGGATCCTAGTTTGAAGTCCGCGCATGTGCAAAGAAGACCATGAGACTCTCACCTCTAATTCATCACCAAAAAAGCTCCAAGTGGAGCTATAGATCAAGTGTTAAGAGTGTGAGCTTTGCACAAAAAGCTCAGGGACAGTGCACAGGTCCTGAGTCCAAGCCCCACGACTAGCACCCCCCCAAAAGGGGGGGGGGGCAATGAATTAAAGTTTCTAAAAAACAGCAAATGATAGTGCCATAAACAGAGACAGTTTCAGTAACCTAGCAGCACCAGATTCATCTTGACTGGGGTTATACTTTGGTCAGGACTTCATCCCTGTCCTGTCAAAGAAGTTTCTGGAAGAAACTAAAAGTCTATAGAGTTCAGTCTTGGAAGAAAAGTCTTGTGAAAGGAGGACAAACATGTTATCTCTCCAGCAAAGCCTCACCTAAAATTGTTGGAAGTCATCACTTGTGGGAGGGGAAGGAAGAAGTGGCACTGTGGTTAAGTGGTAGAGTGCTGGGGGCCAGGGAAAGAGGCTTACAGACAAGACTTTTAACTCTTCCGTGGCAGCACTTCAGGTCTATATACACTCACAAGTGTCCCACTTAGAGAAGAATCCTCTCTGCTGAAGCTACTCAAAAAATAGTCATTAAATATTCCTTCCATGTAAAATACAGTGGCTATTTATCACAAATTAGATAGTATATAGTAGATAAGAGGTTCCAGTTTAATTTTTAGTTAACTTAAGTTAGAATGAAAGCAACATTTAATGCTAAATTATTACAATATCAGGAAATATTAAAAGTTAAGATTTTATAATATATATAGAAATAGATATGTCCATCATTTAGAAAAACTAATTTTGAAAATCCATGCTTCAAAATATTTAGATGTCCAGGCACTGGTGGTTCATGCCTGTAATCCTAGCTACTCAGGAGGCTGAGATCTGAGGACTGCAATTCAAAGTCAGCCCAGGCAGGAAACTCTGTGAGATTCTTTTTTTTTTTTTTTTGGGGGGGGGGGGGTCCAGTCGTGGGGCCTGAACTCTGGGCCTGGGCACTGTCCCTCAACTCTTCAGCTCAAGGCTAGCACTCTACCACTTAAGCCACAGTACCACTTCCGGCTTTTTTCTTTTTTGCTTATGTGGTGCTGAGGAATCGAACCCAGGGCCTCAGGCATGCAAGGCAAGCATTCTACCACTGAGCCACCTTCCCAGCCCCCTCTGTGAGATTCATATTTCTTAACTACTCAAAAAAAGCTAGAAGTGGCAATGTGGCTCAAGTGGCACTTGCCTTGAACAAAAGAAGCTCAGGAATAAGCACCTAGGCCCAGGGTTCAAGCCCCAGGAACAGGGGAAAAAAATAAAAATAAAATACACACACACACACACACACACACACACACACACACACACACACACACACACACACACACACACACACACACACACACACACACACACACACACACACACACACACACACACGCAACTGAATAAGAAATAGTTAAGGTTCACGTACAACTTCCTGTGTTTTGACATAGACCAATCTGTGACCTTGTCAAGATTACCTTCTCCCTCCTCTCTGCACATCTAAATTCTACCCCCTTTTAAAAGCTAATTCAAGTGCTAGCCTTGAGCAAAGGATCTCAGGGACAACATTCTGGACCAGAGTTGAACCCCATAACCAACCAAAAAAAAAAAAAAAGTGCATCCCATTTTCAAAGTGTATATACCACATGTCTAGGTGTTTATGTTACTTGTTTGTCAGTCATTCTAAGTGGCAGCATCAATTTAGTGCCAGTTTGTTTTCTAGCTGTGAGCTACCGGAAAACAAGTTTTGTCTTTCATCCTCCTTGTAGCCCACATCATTCCAGTCAATGTTATTTATCAACTCAGCTTTCAATAAAAACAAGCTGATTAGCTAATACATATCCACCAAAATGTAGATGTGCCTTTTCTTTACTAAGTATTTACTGAAGAATACAGAAAACGTAAACATCCCTATGATATCTGTGCTCACAGAGAAAATCCCTGGTCTTACCATTAGCCTGTGGTTTTACATTTGAAGAAGCTTGCTGTATGTCGATCTCCTCCATAGCATCGCTCATCAAATCTCGTAAAATCTGTTGATCTGCTTCAGGAAGAACTGGACCACGTGATGACAACCGACCACAGGAATCTACCTACAACCAAACACAAAACAACAACAACAAAAACAACATTTATTCAACATAGTTTTCTAAAATGCCCATGGAATCACCCTTCCAGACTCATCACTCAGCAGGTAAAGAACTGACTTTTCCAGTTTCTCATGACTGTCGTGAAGATGGTCAAGAGAGGACATACAGACACACCACTCCCATGGCAGGGATAGAGGGGCTAACACTGCTGACTATACCTTGGGCTTTCTCTGAGGAGCTCCCATCTTCATCTCTGCCTTGTTAGGTGTCTGTAAGTCACCATAACTTGCGATGTATTGAATGAGATTCATCAATGCAGCACAAGAGTCTGAGCATGTTCTGACATGGACAATGTCACTAGAGCAATGTAATTCAAAGCGAGGCTCGGTCTGGACAGGACACAAGAAAAAGAAAAACAATGTTCCTGAGGCTCGGTCTGGACAGGACACAAGAAAAAGAAAAACAATGTTCCTAAACAAGGGACAAAAATTCTGTTTTTGTAGATTTGCATTCAATGAAATAAGTAATCATTTGTCCTAAGAATAAATACCTCTAACTTTATTTTAAATACTTTGTCAATTTCTGACCAAAATTAGGTAAGCAGAAAAGCAATTTTACAATAATTCTATTTAATCTCTCAAAAACTAAGAGTAGCTGGACACCAGTGGCTCACTCCTATAATCCTAGCAATGCAAAAGGCTGATCTGAGGATCATGGTTAAAAGCCAGCCCAGGCAAGAAAATTCACAAGACTCCAATAAGTTAACCCAGCCTCCAAAAAGAGCCAGAAATGGAGCTGCTTTGAGTTCAAACCCTAGGACAAGCCAAAATAAATTCAAATTTGCTTTTTTATTTTCTATTAATTTTAATCACTTACTTGCTCTCCATCAGAATCCGACTTCACTGCAGTTATGGTTAATTCTAAAAGCCCCATATCCATCACACGAACATAATCTAAAAGTTTTAAAGTAATTAATAAAAGGAATACAGCTTTTAAAAGTGCTTATCTAACCAATACCTAATAAAATTAACATTTCTTTAAAATATATTGCATAATTTCTCTAATGTGAGAGAAGACACAAATTCACAATTTCCAGCCAACAATTCTGTTTATTCTGGTTAGAAACTACCTTACATTAAATAAGAGTGCATATGTTTTGATATGTTTAGCTAATACTATCAGACATTACAACCTAAAAAGGAAAATCTAGTATCTGAAAATACACTACATATACTCAGTCTATGTTTAAAGTACTTCAAAATGTTTACACAAAACATAAATCAGTACATGCTGGGAAGGGAGGGGGAGGTGATGCCCACCCCACTCAGGTGATGGATCCCTGGAAAGGGGCAGGCACTTGGCTGTTGGGTTACTGAACTTGTCAGTCCAGTGCCTGGGATTAGGAATTTCCTGTGACCCTGACTCTATTTAGGCCCAGAGGAGCACAGGTGCCATTATACCACACCACCTATCTCCATGTTCAAGTCCTGTCTCCTGACTCTTCTCCAGTTACCATGGTATCCCTATTCAGCTTTCCATTGGAACTGAATTGGTTTGTTGGTATTGTTTTTGTCCTTTCTTTCCTCTCTGGCCTGTTTCCTAGCTGTGTTAAGTGGATTTGAGGGCTGCCTGCAGACTGCCAAGTGTTCTAATAAAGACTCCAAGATTCAATTCTTAAAATAAATGTATACATATACAGCAGCATTAACAGGCTTCAGAATTTAACTCTTACCTCTATTCAGATTTATTGTGACAGTATTACATTTATCAGACAGATGTAAAGCAGCCTCATCCATGATTATTCTGCAAAAAAAATCAAAACAAACTAAAAAACTAAGCTTTGAATGTATGCTATGTGATCACTGTATACTTAACTGCACCATTCCTTCTGATACAAATATTATAAAAATCATATGCATTGTCTAGCTGGGAGTGTAGCACAGGTCAGACCTGCCTAGCAACCAGAGGACCTGAGTTAAAACCTCAATATCAAAATCACATGCAGCATAGGGGTAAATGCACTGTATTAAATATGTAAAGTCTTATCTATATGGGTTTGATCAGAGAAATTAATATTCTCTAAATTAAAAAAAATTACATGCAATTCCCAATATAAATGTCATCTAACATGTTTTAAAAAGCCACTGCTTATGAATGCTATAAATGCAGTTCTTTAACTGGTATAAAAAAAATTTAGCTGGGCACCGGTGGCTCACGCCTGTAATCCTAGCTACTTAGGAGGCTGAGATCTGAGGATCGAGGTTCAAAACCAGCCCGGGCAGAAAGACCATGAGGCTCCTATCTCCAATAAACTACTAGAAAACCGGAAGTGGCACTGTGGCTCAAGTGGTAGAGCGCTCGCCTTGAGCTGAAGAGCTGAGGGACAGCGCCCAGGCCCAGAGTTCAAGCCCCATGACTGACCAAAAAAAAAAAAAAAAAAATTTAATCATTTACTCAAATTAATTCTACATGTTTGGCAGTTTTTTTAAAAAAAAAATAGATGCCTGGGCTGAGAATGTGGCTTTGTGGTAGAGTGCTTGGGGTTCGATTCCTCAGTACCACATAAACAGAAAAGGCCAGAAGTGGCTCAAGTAATAGAGTGCTAGCCTTCAGCACAAGAGAGTCTCAGGGACAGTACCCAGGCCCTGAGTTCAAGCCCCAGGACAAGCCAAAAAAAAAAGGATGCCTAAATTCAAATTTGTTGTCATTGTTTTTGCCGGGTCTGGGAGTGAACCCTGAGCTCCTTTTGCTCAAGGCTAGCACTCTACCTGAGCATCTTTTTGCTCAAGGTGCTATAGTACTGTACTACTTGAGCAATAGCACCATTTCCCACTTTTTCTGTGATTAATTGGAGATAAGAGTCTCAGACTTTCCTGCCCGGGATGTTTCAAATGGCAAGCCTCAGATCTCAGCCTCCTATGATTACAGGTATGAGCCACCAGCACCTGTCTCAGAAGGCTTAAGATGCAAAAATAAAGTGTACTAACTTAGCTACTGGATATTTTACCAAAGGCAAATTAACTATTATTATCTATTGAATAATTTGCTAAAAGGCAAATTAAGAATTTTAAGGACAAATTTCCTCCCTAAAATGAAATAAAATAGTACAGGGTATGTGTTACCTAAGAAAGAAAATTTGAGTAATTTAGATAAAAAGACATGACTATTAATAGAATACTGCTGACTTTAACAAAAACTGGAGATATGAATAAAATGATTTAGGTAAACAGTTAATGTAATTTAAACTGCTACAGACAGTTATATATGTAATGAAGTTTATGCAGGTACCTGAGAGTAGAAGAAGATTTATCCAATGCAACACTACTAGAAATGCTGAACGTTTCAACAGTAAGAAGAGATCGAATTGGCAAATAAAGAGGCCTAATAGAAAAAAACAAACAAGAGTATGTTTGACAAAACAACAGAAACTTTTTTAAAAAAATAACATTTTGAGTCTTTTTTGTTTGGAGTTTTGTTTGTTTTTTGAGAGGAGGGTCTCTGCTATGTATTCCAGGCTGCCCTTGAATTTGCAATGCTCCTGCCTCGGCCTCTCAAGGTTTGGGATTACAGATATATACCACCACACTGGGTAAATTTAAAGCTTAGTGCATGATCCATTGTGAACTTACCTGTAATCAAGCGCACAGCTCCAAAGATGAACATGAAAAGTTGTAAATGCAGTTGGAGGATTATATCCCAAAACAGGTTCATCAACAATATTCAAGAAGTATAAAATCTATAATCACAAAAATATAAAATGGCCTGCTTTTGGAGAAAAAAGGTTCTGCTGTAACATACCTAGTAAGTGTAAAACAGTATATCACAGAAAGACCAACCATGTCATGGGAAATTTATGATGTTATAAAGAAAGAAAATCACTATGTATAGCAATACACAAAAAGAGTAATATTAGATAGACGCTAATTTGTTTCACTAGAAGGATCATTTCCTTATATATACCAAAACTATTGAGGAATAGCTTGTATGTACACAACAAAAATTACAGGTACTTGCTGAATTAAAATTTGAAATGAAGAGGATCATCCAATAATTTCAAGGCTATAGAAACCTTAGAAAATCTTATCTCATGAAACTAATAAAAAGTATACATAAGCCGGGCGCTGGTGGCTCACGCCTGTAATCCTAGCTACTCAGGAGGCTGAGATCTGAGGATCGCGGTTCAAAGCCAGCCCGGACAGGAGAGACCATGAGACTCCTATCTCCAATAAACCACCAGAAAACCGGAAGTGGCACTGTAGCTCAAGTGGTAGAGCGCTTGCCTTGAGCTGAAGAGCTGAGGGACAACACCCAGGCCCAGAGTATACATAATTTTGTCTTATTTTGTTTGGAACAACTAAGACAATTTTTCAAAGACTACTTTAAAAATTTAGTTTCTATCAGACACTCTTGTCTATAACCTGGCTTATAGAATATAGCCTATAATCTAGCTAGACCAGAGGATGGGGCAGGAGGATCCAAAGTTCAAAGCCAGCCTGAGAAATTTTGCAAGACTTTGTCTCAAAACAAAAAAGTAAAAAAAAAAGTGTGAAAGTATAGTTCCAGTGAGAGGGCATTTGCCTAGCAGGTCAGCAGCCCTAATTCTCCCAGTCCATATGAAAAAGAATAAAAGGTTTTTTATTTGTTTTTGTTGTTGTTATTGTTGTTTTTTAAGATCCAAGACTGGGGACTCAAACTTAGTACCTGATACTTTCGCTCACTGGCTAGTGTGCTACTAACTGAGCCACATCTCCAACCCCAAGATCTAGTTTTCTAAATAACACACAGTGTTGGGAGTATAATATCTGATTCATTAGGCAACCTTCCTTCCCTCCCTTGCTTCTTTTTTCCTGGTAACACCATGGTTTGAATTCATGGCCTTGCATTTATTTGCAGGAATTCTACCACTTGAGCCATAACTGTTGAGACAGAGTCACAGTGGACTTTTCTGCCTGGGCTGGCTTTAAACTACAATGCTCCAGAGCTAAGCTTTCTGAGTTGTTAGGATTACAGGCATGAACCAAACAGCAGTATCTTTGTAACTCATTCTTTTTTTTTTTTTTCCTGGTCAGTCATGGGGCTTGAACTAGTGCCTTAGCACAGTCCTTGAGCTCTTTTGCTCAAAACTAGTGCTCTATCGGGGCTGGGAAGGTGGCTCAGTGATAGAGTGCTTGCCTTGCATGCATGAGACCCTGGGTTCGATTCCTCCGCACCACATAAGCAGAAAAAGCTGGAAGTAGTGTTGTGGCTCAAGTGGTAGAGCACTAGCCCTTGAGCTGAAGGGCTGAGGGACAGTGCCCAGGCCCAGAGTTCAGGCACCATGACTGGCAAAAAACAAACAAACAAACAAACAAAAAAAAAAACTAGTGCCTTATCACTTTTAGCCACAGCTCCACTTCCGGTTTTCCGGAGGGTAATGGGAGATAAGAGTCTCATGGACTTTCCTGCCTGGGGTGGCTTTGAGCCTTGATCCTCAGATCTCAGCCTCCTGAGTAGCTAGGATTATAGGCATGAGCCACCAGTGTATCTCACTGTAGAAAGAAGTTTTTTCCTTAGTTTATGTCTAGCTTAGTCTGAAAACCAGGTTCTCTGATCATCAATTCTCTCACATTTCTCGAAAAGGTTATAATTAAATCTCTCCCTTAGGCTGGGTAGTGTGCTTTGCCTTGCATGCATGAGGCCCTGGGCTCAATTCCTCAGCACCACATAAGCAGAAAAAGCCAGAAGTGGTGCTGTGGCTCAAGTGGTAGAGCGCTAGCCTTGAGCTGAAGAGCTGAGGGACAGCGCCTAGGCCTAGAGTTCAAGCCCCACGACAGAACAAAAAAAAAATCTCTCTTGCAGTCAGCTAAACGTTCACATTAGCCATCTTTCCACTCCCACTAGATGTCATATTCCTAATTACATGAGAATATTTTTAAAATATTTTAAAAATAATTTTATGATTAGTTGAATGTGGAACTGTGGTTCAACTGGTGGAGTGCTAGCCTTAAACACAAAAACTCAGACAGCACCTAGGCCCTGAGTTCAAACCCCAGGACTGGTTCTCACACACAGACTCTCTCTCTTTCTCTCTCTCTCTCTGTCTCTCACACACACACACAATAATATAATGAAAAAAGTTCATTTCTAAGTAACATTAGAATCAATCATACATGTACTAGTTTTCATTCTCACATAAAGAAAAGCTAGCATCTTGCTCAAAGTTAATTTCTTTTTTTTGTTGACCTCTGGGCCTCATACTTGCTAAGCAAGGGGCTTTACCCCTTGAGTCATAGCTCATCCCTGAAGTGAACTTCTTACTCAAAGAAAAATAAGCTCTTTTTGAAAAACATTTTAATGGGGCTGGACTTCCATTTGTCATGGAACTACTTTATGCCTAGCTCAAGAGTACAGTGCTTCCCTCGCATGAGTGGTTGGATTTGATATCTTTAATGGCAATAAACAAAGCAAAACATTTTGAATTCTACCTGTACTGTATAGAACTGATTCAACATGAAATTAATTATAGAAATCCTAATAGCACAATTTGAAGCAACATCATACCATTGGCCTAGGGAATAATACAGAAAGCATGGTTCTTAAAAAACTTCTGGTACACACAATTCAAGCCAGATACTGGTGGCTTATGTTTGTAGTCCTAGCTACTCAGGAGGCTGAGAGCTGAGGACTGCAATTCAAAGCCTGCCCTGGCAGGAAAGTCTTATCTCCAATTAACTACCAGAATATCAGAAGTAGAACTGTGGCTTAAAGTGGTAGAGTGCCAGTATTAGCAGAAAAGCTCAAGGACAGCAACCAGGATCCGAGCTCAAGCCATATAATAGGTAAAAAATAAAAGTAAATAAATAAGACTTTAAAAAGCAATTTAATATATCATTTGTTACTCATCTCTACCAAGCATTTTACAGATCCCGAGACAAGAGACCTTTCTGTTTCTTTCCTTCCATAAAAAAAAAAAAAAAAAGACAACTCTATCTCTGAAAAGTTTTAGGGACCATTTCTTTTTTCAGGTCCTGGGGCTCAAACTCTGGGCCTGGGTGCTGTCCCTGGGCTCTCTACCACTCTAGCACTCTACCATTTGAAACACAAGGCCACTTCTAGCCTTTTCTGAATAATTGGAGATAAAGAGTCTCCAGGACTTTCCTTCCCAAGCTGGCTTTGAACCATGACCCTCAGAGATCTCAGCCTCCTGAGTAGCTAGGATTACAGGCATGAGCCACTAGTGCCTAGGAGTACATTTTAAAGGAAAAAAATGTTCTGGGGTGTTGAAAATATTCTATTCTTAACCTATCAGGTAGAAGAGCTGAACATTAATGACTCACCAACTTTTCCGTATGTACATTGTTAATATAAGTTCTATCATAAATTGATATATACATAACAGCTATCTTACCTGCTCATGCCAGCTGAGGCCAGCAGGAAGCATTCTGTGCTGGAGAGTGGCTCCTTTTAGTCCCACAGCAATGAGAAATTCCTACACAGACAGTCAGTACTAAGAATTATATTTATCACTTATAGAACCCCACAAGTTTTTCCAAGGAAATAAATGTGTTGCCTTTCATACAAATATCCTTAGCTAGCAACAAAATCAGCTATAAGTACTTAATAGTACAGAAAGTACAAAACACAAACCTTTGTATTGGACTCTGATTTATCAGACAATATTTTAACTGCAACAGAGAGCATATTCAAATTGTCTCCTCCAACCCCATCTGAAGCAGTTCTACTGAGGCCATCTTCTTCAGAAGAATAAATAGTAGGTTCCAACCAATGTGGGCGAGTTGAACAGGGCAATCGTGCTTCTGTAGGAGGAATCACTCCATCTACTATGCCTAGATCCACAAAGAGATGTAAACTTGAATAAAGTTACCACATACAACTAGTTCTGTAACTGCCTAGACTTCCAGGTACAGGTTGTCTCTTCTCCAAAATGCTTGGAACCACAAATATTTCGAACATAGGATTTTTTTCTTTACAGATTGTGGAAATGATACCACACATATCTAGTTAAGATTATCTTGGAGAGGAAACCCCATTCATTCGAAACACAAAATTCATTAATGTGTCACACTTCAAATGCATAGGCTGAAAGTGATTCATGGTTATTTTAGTGTTCCTTGTTTTGACCATGAATTAAGAATTTTCCACTAGTTGCATCTTATTAGTGTTAAAATGCTTCAGATTTTGGAGCATTTCAGATTTTGGATTTTCAGATTGTAGATATCCAACCTGCATCCAGGCCCTGAGTTCCATCCTCAGGACTGGCAAAATAAAATAAATAATAATAATAATAATAATGAATGCATAGAGCCATCAACCCATAAATAGATAAATTATACATGGTTTATCTATACAATAGAAAACTATTATTAAAGAAGGCTGAAGCACTTATAGAACTTGGTCAACCTTGAAAAATACATCACATAAAAACAGATGATTCCATTTATATGGAATTTTCAGAATATGCAAATGTATAGAGATAGAAAGCATATTAGTGGTTGTTTGTGGCTAGAGTATATGGAAGGGTAGAGTATAACAAATTACACAGTCTCTTCTTGAAGCTATGAAAATGTTCTAAAATTTTACTCTGATGATGGCTGCAAAGTTCTATAAAACCATAGAGGTCGTTGAAAATATACTTTAGCCAGGCACAGGAGGCTCACACCTGTAATCCTAGCTACTTGGGAGGCTGAGATCTGAGGATCATGGTCCAAAGGCAACCTGGGCAGGAAACTCCATGAGAACTCTTATCTCCAATAAACCACTCAGAAAACCTGAAGTGGTGCTGTGGCTCAAGTGGTAGAGTGCTAGCCTTGAGCTGAACAGCTGAGGGATGGTGCCCAGGCCCAGAGTTCAAGTCCCATGGCCGACAAAGAAAAAAAAACAATATATATATATTATATATATAAAATCTGAATTATATTTCACATATTATCTCTTAATAAAGCTATTATAAATAGATGGTTATGGTGATGCATAGCTGTAATCCCAGCACTTGGCCTCCTGAGCAAGATTATCTCAAAACTGAACAAAACCCAGAACCAACAAACAAAAGCTACTATTAAAAAAGAACATAAAGCCAAGTTATAACCTACAACTACTACTTAGATGGTATAATCAGAACCTTCAACTCAGAAAATCATTTCTAATATTCACATTCTGTTCTCAACACTTTATCAAACAAGAAACTGAAACGTGTCAAAGGAAAGAATAAATACTCATTTGCCTTACCTTTGTGGTACAGACTGAAACTGCTAGAATGAAGGCAAATATAATGCTTGTCATCAAAACCTTCATATTTTGTCACACAAAACAATGAGCCACTATTGAATTCTAACCAGAATTCACCATGCTTGTTTTCCAAGAGATCGCCATTATCTTGCTAATAGAAAGATTGGAGGACAGGAGGGGAGGGGAGAAAAAAGTTATTATTTTTTTTAATCTCAGTGCTAGAGACAGAGCCTTGGGCCTCACAAATACCAGGCAGGTATTCTACAATCAGCTCCAGCCCCCAAGTCATTATTTGAATGCAGGAAAGCAAAGAAGTCCCATGGGATGTTCTTTCTTAAATCCACGTAGGAAACTGTCCCATATTACATAAAAGCAGTGATAAGAGCTGAGCCACTTCACAGAGTCATACTAAAAATGGAATAAATGCTACATAAAACTTGTGCTGGCTGGGAAGGTGGCTCAGTGGTAGAGTGCTTGCCTTGCATGCATGAGGCCCTGGGTTCAATTCCTCAGCACCACATAAACAGAAAAAGCCAGAAGTGGCACTGTGGCTCAAGTGGCAGAGCACTAGCCATGAGCCAAAGAGCTGAGGGACAGTACCCAGACCCAGAGTTCAAGCCCCACGACTGACCAAAAAATATAAATAAATTTTTTTTGTTGTGCCAAATAAATCCCAGTACTTTATCTCCCTTAAAAGCAGAAAAAATAGCAGTTATGACCTTCGGGAGTGGAGCTGGTGCATTCTCTAAGGGGAAGGTGTTTCACCATGAGACCCCAATGTAAGCTAGATTCCCATGTTCCCATTGCCACAGCCCTACAGAAGTCCTCCTGGGAACTGAAAGGGCTCCGCCCTTCTAACATCCAGTTATCACTGGGTATTATGCTTTTCTTTCAAATGATGTTTATTGAGATAGCACTTTGGATTTATAAATCTTACCCTTACATCTGTGAACAAGGCCATTAATCCATGATTAATATTCAGAAGAACTGAGAGAAAGCTCTGAGAGTGCTTGTTCTGAAAGTCTAATTTTTTTTTCCTACGGGAACGATAGTTAGGATCGACAGTAGAAAAATACTGCATAGTCTCTTCTTCAGATCCACTTTCTTCATCTACGGGGGGAACAAACAATTACTTAGTTCTGATAGCATGTAAAATAAAACAGCAACTTAAAAATTATCACAGCTGGGAAGGTGGCTCAGTGGTAGAGTGCTTGTCTTGCATGCATGAGGCCCTGGGTTCAATTCCTCAGCACTACGTAAGAAAAAAGAAAAAAGCCGGAAGTGGCGCTGTGGCTCAAGTGGTAGAACGCTAGCCTTGAGCTGAAGAGCTAAGGGACAGCGCCCAGGCCCAGAGTTCAGGCCCCATGACCGGACCCAAAAAAAAAAAAAAAAAAAAAAAATCACAAACCTATTATCTATGTTTATAACCACTTATTTTTACAAATATAGAATGACAATAAAAATGTATCATTTTTTTATCCTTATCCCTAAACTTCAGTGTGTTTATGATCACTTCAAGGTATATATTATCATTCAAAAAAAAAGTTTAAAATAGCAATAGTAATAGAAAATATAACCAGGGACATCTTATAATCTGCAATAAAAAAAAGCCATTACTCTTTTAATTTAGAAATTGGGTACTTTTTTTTGGTCAGTCATGGGGCCTGAACTCTGGGCCTGGGAGCTGTCCCTTAGCTCTTCAGCTCAAGACTAGCACTCTACCACTTGAGCCACAGTGCCACTGTTGGCTTTTTCTGCTTATGTGGCACTGAAGAATGGAATCCAGGGCCTCATGCATGCAAGGCAAGCACTCTACCACTGAGCCACCTTCCCAGCCTGAAATTAGGCACTTTAATTCAGGATAAATTTAAAATACAGTACCATAGTGAACTGTAGATTTAAATGTAGTGAAACTATCTTTGTTGAAGGTGTTAATCAGTTGGCTGGCTACTGAAAGCCCAATGCCATATGAAATATTTTCAAAGGTCTCCACCGGTGAAGGGGCTGTTGGTTCCCACAGTAGCAAGTCATTAAAGATCCTATAAAGACAGAAGTTGAAAAATACATGTGTAACTTATAAACTTTAGACAAACTAAAGATTTAAGAGATGAGCTGAACAATTTTTTAAACAGTGAAATGAGAATTGGACTCTATAAAGACTTTTTAAAATATAAATTATGTTCTTTCAATGAAAAAACAAATATTGCATCCTTCCATCACTCCTGTGGAGCTGGCAGGAAGTTTATTTCCCACTGAAGCAACTGCCTCGTCAAGAGTAAGTGAGAGCTGGAGCTGGTGGCTCAAGCCTGTAATCCTAGCTATTCAGGAGGCTGAGATCTGAGGATTATGGTTTGAAGCCAGCCTGGGCAGGAAAGGCAGTGAGATTCTTCTCTCCAATTAACAACTAGACAACTGGAAGTGGCACTATGGCTCAAAGTGGTAGAGTGCTAGCTTTGAGCAAAAGAACTAAGGGACAGTGCCCAAACTCCAAGTTCAAGCCCCACAACCCAAAAACAAAACAAAGAGCAAGTAGGGAGTAGGAGGCATGGTTTAGGTCAGGTAGGGCTCCTGCCAATGAGTGACCTAGTAGAAGAGCTGGGATGAGAGACCACATTGTACCCAGTTCTCAATTCAGTTCTTTCTCTTGAGGTATTTAAGATCTCCTTTCAGCATATAGTACGTCACCACCAATGTGCATGACATGAAGAATATGCCACACGGAATGAAAGGAACAAACTCTACCAACTACCTAGAGTCACCCAATTGATGCTGGTGACCAGGTGGCTACAGCTAGGACCCCAGAGCATCCTATCTTTTTTCTTTGTCAGTTGCGGGGCTTGAATTCGAGGCCTGGATGCTGCCCCTGAGCTCTTTTGCTCAAGGCTAATGCTCTACTACTTGAGTTACAGTACCACTTCCTACCTACCTTTTCAAAGAACAGACATACTGGTCTTACCTCTTCCCCTCACTTACCCACTGGCTTTCAAGAAAAACTCAAAATTCACAATTTATATAGCATATCCTTCATACATAGCTATTTCAATCAATCACAGCATTTTATATACCACATAGCACTTCTTCCTCTTCCCTTTCTGGACTGCTAGACTTGCCCCCTAGAAGAGGTACTTGTGCCTAATCACTTCTACCTCTAACTAGATCAATGGCTATCATATATAGCAGGCACTGACAGCTGATAAACTGAAGAGGACTGTCAAAGCACACACATACACACAGTAAAGCCTGTGAGAAAGTGCCAAACAATGAGGCAGCCCTGCCTCTTCCTATGGAAAAACAGTTCTTAAACCAATGCTTAAGCTTCTGCAACCCTAGAAATATAAGCAAGACCTTCATGGTAGCTTCTAAGCTCTATCTAAAATCTCTTTTTAGAAATATTGTTATTAAAGATACCAAGGATATGGAACAAAAAGATGTCACATCTCAGACACACTGACAGCTATATCCCACAATACTGGCACAAATGTGGCTTTCTGTTTCTTGAGCATATTATAGACAAAGGTATATAGCTATAAATATAGACAGGTTAGAGCCTCTATGATTATGAATAATGAATACATAAAATGAGAAATTTTCTCAGGGAATGCTCTTCCTTTCCCTTAGTGTAAGTGCAACCAAGTTATGCATCACAGGTTAGAGAAACAGGATTACTTTAAGTAAAATCCAGAGTTCATGGCATATAGCCTATAAATGTAAGTTTCATACCTTTTTGCCAATTTCCTTATTTATATTTTTGTCCAAATCTCCTTTTAAAGTTAATGTTTTATTTTTTTGAGATAGGATCTTAGCTTATAACCCAGGCTAGCCTATAACTTGTTACTTAGTCAAGGCTGGCTTCAAACTCATGATCCTCCAGCCTCTCTGCCTGTAGAATGCTGGGATTTCAGGAGTGTGATACTATCAGTGGCTTCAACAGTCTTGACATCACTAATACTATAAAGCATCAAGTAATGTTTCTAATATTAAGAAAGGGAACAATGCTTAAAGATACATTATCTCAATTCTTTGTCACAAGCGGATATAATAGATACTCCAAAACATTCTATTTAATGAAACCAGTGAGAATTCTTTTTGACATAAAATTTTAGATTTACACAATATACTGTAAACTCGATGTTTAAGGTATATCCTACTGGTCTTGATGTCCTGGTATAACCAACAATAATGCAGAAAGGATTGGATCCAGTTCTTCTGACTTCCAGGTTGAACCCTGAAAAAGTCTTAGCCCTCCACATGCATTAGCAATTAGCAGATACTCCTCAACTATAAACTAAAAGGAAAAGACTATGGCTCAGTGGTTTCAAACTTCCAATCATATGTAAGCAAAGTGCAAGAGCTAAAACTGAAACCCTTTAAGGCAAACTCACAAATTATGTGCTGCTTAGAATGTGCATAATATATCAAAATACACACTTTTAGATAAGTTATTTGCAAGTTAAATAAAGTGCTAACATTTTCTTTCTACATTCCTATATATCTGATCCTAAGACACGGAGATGGCCCAGTGTTTACTGTCCTCAGTGAAGGAGTAAAGGGTTAGGGACATCTGACATTAAGAAAACCTATAGTAGAAGCTGTAGAGATGGAGTGACTGAAAATTAATGGAAATACAAATGTGTTTACATGTGGCAAGTTAGTACTGACCAACAATGAAAACTTCTTTTCTAGAAATCCCACATGATCATCTATCAGGTACATTATAGAAGAGAGCCCTTCAATGGGTGGGAATAATAAAAGAAATAGACTACTACTTAATGCTTACCATATGCCAGACATTGTTCTCTGAAATTTCTAAGTGTTACATGATTTAATCTCCAATCAGCCCTTTGGGCAGATTAACAGTACTGTCTCCATTTTATAGATAAAGCAACTAGGTAAATTGTCAAAAGTCATTTGAGTCTAAGACCTCAAATTCCATTTATTTGCTTGGTATATGTGTTGAATATAATATGATAAATTTACATATGATAAATATGATAAATTTACATTTTTGTATGTAAAAATTTATAAGCTAATACTCAGTTTAGAATTTCAACAAGATGCCTTTGTGAATTTAAAAAACAAATGCTTCTTGGACAATGTCTACAATTCTGATTCTATGCCAGAATCTGCTGGCTTTCTACTGAAGTACGTCCTAACTCTTTCACATAACTGCATATGCAGAAAATAAAAAAACAACAACAAAAACATTTGCTCAGTAGCCTAACTCTAGTTATTGTCATTAAGCCACACAAAGTGCATGGGGTGAAAGTTAATATGAGAGTTAAGTGAAGTGGGAAAAAGAGGAAACAGAAGCAGCTCGGCAGAAAGTCTGATCCCAAAGAATTAACCAGATACTCTTGAACTTACCTATTATAAAGCTTCTCATAAAAGCTTTTATTAGGTAGTGTTATATGAATATTTGGAAATGTAAGTTCCAACACATAATGAGAATTGCTGATTGCCTTGTCCTGAAACTCTGTCATTTCTACAGGGTCTCCTGGCATCACCATCTAAAACATAATAATTTAGTGCAAAAAAGGCATCAAATAACCATTTTATATTTAAATAATTATAGCAGTTTTCAACATATCTATAGCTTGGTATGGGAGCACCTAAACAAGTCAATAATATTTACTGAGGAAAATATACATCAAGGCAAAAAAATAATAAGCTACATGCCAGTGGTTCTTGCCTGTAATCCTAGCTACTTGAGAGGCTGAGATCTGAGGATAGTGTGGTTCAAAGCCAGCCCAGACAGAAAAAGTCCATGAGACTCTTTATCTCCAATTAACCAGCAAAAAGCTAGAAGAAAATATGAGTATTCTGGTTTGAAGCCAGCATGGCATTGAAAAGTTAAGAGTCTCATCTCCAAAATGACTAGGGAAAGGCTGGGATGGGCCAGGTGCTGGTGACTCATACCTGTAATCCTAGCCACTCAGGAGGCTGAGATCTGAGGATCACAGTTCAAAGTCAGTCTGGGCAGAAAAGTCTGTGAAATTCTTATCTCCAATGAACCACCAGAAAACCAGAAGTAGAACTGTGGCTCAAAGTAGAAGAACACTAGCCTTGAGCAAAAGAGCTCAGAGGTAGCACGCAGACCCTGAGCTCGAGTCCCAAGACTGACCAAAAACAAAACAAAACAAAAGAGCTGGGCTGGGTACATGGCTCATTATCAGATAAGTAAGCAAGCATTTCAAACTGGACAGATAGCAGAAGAAAAAAAATTTTTTCTTAAATAGACAACAATCAATCTTGAAGTTGAAAACTGAATAAAAAATAGTATACAATGAATTTTTTTTTGGTCAGTTGTGAGGCTTGAACTCAGGGCCTAGGCGCTGTCACTGAGCCTCTTTATGCTCAAGGCTACTGCTCTACAACTTGAGTTACAGCACCACTTTGGTTTATTGAGTGGTTAATTGGAGCTAAGAGTCTCAAGGGGACTTTTCTGCCCTGCTGGCTTCAAACTGGATCCTCATATCTCAGCCTTCTGAACAGCTAGGATTATAGGCGTGTGCCACCAGTGCCCAGCTGAAAGAACTTTTTTAGAAAATAAGAAGTTACCCAGCCAAGGTGGTGGCACATCTGTCAGACTATGAGTTCAAGATCAGTCTGAGATAAGCGAGGAGATGCCATTTCAGTAAGAAAGGAAAGAAAGAATTAAATCATCACTATAATTTAACAGTGATATAATGCTTGCTCATACACTCTTTCTTACCTGTTCATTTTCAAACATTACTCTACGGGAAGAAAAAGGAGATGGGGCTGGTCTCCTTAGATCACAGACATCTTTCAGGGAATGAGCACCTCCTTCCTCCTCTTCCTGGTAGTGACCATCATTTTCCTCCTCCTCCTCCTCAGCCGCTATTCTTTCCAAGATGGAATGCATGGCCGGTGGGTTTATTTTCAGTACCATTCTAATAAGCAAAAATAACTTTAAAAAAAAAAACTAAGATCTTAAGTATAAAGAGAAAACTTCAACTTCTATGGATATTAATATAAAGAACACTTGCCAGGCACCAATGGCTCACACCTATAATCATAGCTACTCAGGGGGCTGAGATCTGAAGATAGTGGTTCAAGGCCAGGCATGTCCATGAGACTCTATCTCTAATTAACCAGCAAAAAGCCACAAGTGGAGCTGAGACTCAAGGGACAGAGTGCCAGTTTAAGATTCTTACCTAACTACATGAGGTAACCTGAGAACAAAATATGCGTTCTCCTTCTCACTATATTTAACAAGCACATTTCGGAAAATAGTTCCACTCTTTAATTTTTACTCACCCATCTTCCTTTACGTTCTTTCATCAAAGCTTACTCTTTTTAGCTTAAATTTAGTAGTCAAGATGTTAAAAGGACTATATTTTCCTTATAAAAGAAGATCCCAATACACTTATACATTTGCTCACCGTGGCCAATCAAAGTCATCTGACGATGCTGTATCTCCATCCACTCCACCAATTACATGGAAAAACTGAATAGAGGGTTCTCCTTTCTCTTCCTGGAATGACCCTAATAAAATAGGTTGATTCACTGCAATGCATTTATTTCAAATGCAAAAAGACAAGATCTTTTCCTAGAAGAACAAATTTCCTCTAAATTAGGAATGTAAAGTATGAGTAAATTCTAGTTTCTTTCATTCTTGCCCACTTATCTAAGAACAAAAGTAGAAAGGACAGGCAGATGTTAAAGATGCTGTCCTGTATTCAAATTAAAGTTCTAAAGTATCAACACATTTAATGCATAAGGTACAAAATTATAACATAGTAAATATGGCAATTACCACAGTGCTAGTAATTTTCATAAAATAAAAGTTTATTTGCTGGAGATACAGCTCAGAGGCTAACATGTGCAAGGCCCTGGGTTCAATCCCCAGCACTGCAAAAAAAGAAAAAACAAAAGAAGTTTATATAGCTAATCTGCACAAAGGTAATTATTACACAAAGGTAATAACTACATTTCTTAGGTGAGTGTTTTATAACAACTACTATAAGAATTGCTTATATTCAAAATAACTATATACTGTATGTACACATCTTCCTTTCCTCCAAAATAAGGAGCTTCATGTAAGAGAGGCCTAATACCTAAAGGTCCATTCATGACGTCTTAATTGGCAAATGTCAATTTTAAGTATCTCCAATGAGAGATAAAACTCAAGAGACAACAGGGAAAGAAACTTCTGCAGCCTCTTACCAGCTAGTTCTCTAAAGGTAAGTTCCAATTTAATTTGTTCTGGGGTTGATCCTCCTATAAACTCCGTCTTAAATTCCAGATCTGTGAATGCTAAGTGAAGGATCTCTTTCTGAAGTGACTTCTTAAACCATGGTCCTCTTTCTTGATCTGACCGAAGATCAGGGATTGGAAAGCGAACAGAAAGATTTAACGCTGGTGTGGCAACTTGTACTGACACCCGACAATTTGCAGGGTTATGTGAATCATCTAGAAATACTTCAGTGAAAGCCTTGTGCTAAAATACAAAACATTAAAAAATGCCAAAACATTAAGTAAATAAACAAATGACACGAGTACTCAACATTTCAATATTCTCAATTATTTTGCTCTTCAGTATAATGCATTTTAAAATATAATTCAAACAAACTAGTCTATAGTATTTAGTATAATAAAACTTTATAATAAAACCACTGAAAAAGTCTAAGACTACAGCCAACAGTTAAAAGTAAATGAAGACAAAACTGAAGCAAAGTGACAATAGAAGTATACACATATATACACACACACATACACCCACACTACTATAAACTAAACAAATGAAACAAGATACACATTAGCAATCAACAAATCCAATAAAGTTAAACACTATTGTAGCATACAACATGTGAAGGATTTATCTATCAATATACTACTTTAAAGACTCAATGTGGGTCATTCTCGTCCCAGAGATGATATGACCCACTTTCAGACTATTGAAAGTGCATTCTTTTCCTAATAAACTTCCCTGTTCTTTTCTCTTTTTTTTTGTCGGTCTTGGGGCTTGAACTCTGGGCCTGGGCACTGTCCCTCAGCTCTTCAGCTCAAGGTGAGCGCTCTACCACTTGAGCTACAGCGCCACTTCCGGTTTTCTGGTGGTTTATTGGAGATAGGAGTCTCATGGTCTCTCCTGCCCGGGCTGGCTTTGAACCGCGATCCTCAGATCTCAGCCTCCTGAGTAGCTAGGATTACAGGCGTGAGCCACCAGCACCCGGCTTTCCTGTTATTTTCACTAAAATGTGTATGTGGGTTTTAGAGTAGTCTACTTGGTACAATATGTATGCAACCTGTTATTTTCCTCCACAAAGACATATTTAGGAATCTGAGATAATTTACCAGGTGTTGTAAAATGTGAAATGGAACAAGAACATCATCTTGATGGGAACTGAACTGGAGCCAAGAAAATAGCACAATCTGGTAAGCCAGCTAGGAGAACTACTGTACAAATTCAAGGAAATAGGTCTATATAGCTTTAAGGCAAAATTGGATCACCAAGGAAATCTCTCTGAACTGGTTAACCTCATTTTGAGGATGGCTGACAAAGATGGCCAGGTTTTCTTGGGAAAAGCAAAGTGAGCATAGGCACTTCCTTCAGTTAAATTAATTTCTCCTCACAGTGACACTAAAAGCTAATGGATTTCCGTGGTGATGCTATGCTATGGAAAGCAATGAATATACTCTTTATGGAATAAACCTTCCATGAGTCACTTATTTTTACCCCATCTGGGTTCAGAAGAAGCATAAATCACCTGTTCACATTACTGTGGCCTAAGAAGGCTAAAATAGCCACAGGAGTTTTAGAATTTATGGAAAATGTCATCCACAGTCTCTATGGAAACTTCCATATGAGTGACACTAGTGCCAAAAGCCTAGCATATAATGAAAAGTATGATTTGAAAATGAGAGCTATGAGAAATATGTGCTAGTGACAGGGATAAAAGAATTTAAGGATCATCACTGGGAGTATGATCTGGACTATGTCACTGATATAGACTGTAGAACTAGATCTAGGTGTGATCAGAATACAATGAAGTATACTTCAGTACTGATACAGCCAAACTTGCACGGTGCTTCAAGTGCAATTCATGAAGAACCAGAAAAGGAGCTATATATACTTGTATTATTCTCACTGGAAATCAAATGGAACGTACTTTGACACTAAAAATTCTAAAAACATTATTGTGGAAGAAAATGTCCCATGCAAATGACTTTTAGTTCATTTGACCATTATTACTATCATAGGAAACAGTATGCACCTTCATCCTAACTCCTTTTCTTTTTAACTAAAGCTGTCTGTTTAGTTATAGTAATAAAGACACCAAATTCTTAATCCACATCTTGCAAATCTGACATACTTGATTTGCTTAGAAAGGATTCTAGGTACTATATCTAAGTAAAAGTGACAGAATGTAATATTCAATAGATTATTTCTCCATTTTCAAAAGTATATCCTTTATTATTTGGGCTACAAAGTTCAGAAATTTATTTAATGTATCAACAAAATTTTTGAAAAATGAGGTAACTATCAAATTCAGAAAGAATTCTAATTCCACTGTAACATCATTTATTCTTATTCTACACATCCATTTTATTTGTCATCAAAAGTTTACATGGAGCCAGGCACCAGCAGCTCACATCTGTACTCAGGAGGCTGGGGATCTGGGGATCACAGTTCAAAGCCAGCCAGAAAGGAAAGTACTTGAGACTCTTCTCTTCAATAAACCACAAGAAAACTGGAAGTGGCGCTGTGGCTCAAGTGGTAAGAGTGTTAGCCTTGAACCCAGAGTTCAAAACCCACAACTGACCAAAAAAAAAAAAAAATGTTTACATGGATTAATATGTTTTCACTTAGTAGTTCTTGATGAGCCTTTTTCATGTTGCTATACCATCTTCATAATACATTTCAGAATGGCAGCATAAAATTTCAGGGTAATTACCAAACATAACTATTACCAAGATATAAAGGTGTTCTCATTTTCTCATTATCACAAATAATGCAGTTTTTATAGGCTATTTTAATACATAAAATTGTTATCCAATTACAAATGTTATTCATAACTTTTTGAACACTTACCAGGCTAATATGCTTATTATATGATGTATACATGTGTGATGCCATCATCTCTACTGTAGTAAGTTTCTGTGGTTGAAGCAAGGAATTTAACCTGTCCACAATACTGATATCCAGTTCACAACATACTGGACTTAATTTAATTTTTAACTCAGCCTTCTGAGGAACTGAACTAAGTCTTGCTTGATTACCCTTAAAAAAAAAGTATTAATACACTCATTAACAATACTATAAAAACTCACAACCAAATATATATCAGAAAGGTCATACAGGTGGTAATCACTCAAAAAGGTCTCTTACCTGGGGTCCTCTATTCTCAGAATGTTTATAATGAAGCTGAAGACACAGAGGAGGGGGGCCATCAGTTCCTCCTTTGGAATGGAACATTAGAAGCTTAACAAAAATAAAGATAGTTAAATCAAAGATACTGAGCTATAATCAATCACATGAAGCTTTCTTTCTGACATGGAGGGGTGTTCTGACTTTCAAGTTTCATTGTGATCACTTAGTAGCAATGTAAATTTACCCTAGTTAACTAGCCTCTGTGATGCTTTGGATCTCTGGAATCTAAGTAAGGACTCAAACAAATTGATGCCCTACATCCCCCCAAAGAAAAGGTTTTAAAAATATATGTAAGAGCAAGTAATACTAGTGTTATTTTGACAATTTTAAATGTCTCCTAACTCTGGTTGCATAAAATAATATTATTGAAATGATCTAAAAAAAAAAGCATTGCTCTGTCATACTTTAGGAAATAAAATCAGATTAATGGTTTAAAAAAAACATACCCACTTCTCTTGTCTTAAACAGTGCTTACCACAAAGCAAGAATTCATAAGTATTTGCTTTAATAATACAATTTTTCAGATATTAAGAGTACTTTGAAAAATGAGTGAAATGAAGGCATTTGTAATCTGTCAATCTGAAACACATCAATGCAAAATTAAAATTTTGCTAGATTCATATAATGTTCCTGAATGCCATATTTTCATAGTTGTTTCAACAAAATAAAAGATTAAAAAATAGTAATAAGCTAGGGGCATGACTTAAGTGACAGAAGGCCTATGTAGCAAGCACAAGGACCTGATTATTAGGGTTTGAACTGTATGAACTTCCATTTTTAAAGAAAATCATTGCTGATCATACAATTCTTAGAATGCCAGACAGATCTAAAAATAATTCCAAATGAGGTATAGGCATTTACCTCTGTATAATGAGGAGGAACTGAACGAGAATCAGTAGGAAACAGACACTCCAGAAACTCCATTTGCCCAATGGACATGTCAGTACTAAAACAGCGGGAAGCAGATCTCTGTCTTTGTTCATAGGAGACTTTGATGCCAGTACCTATAAATCTATTATAGAAATGAAGCGTTTAAGAATACTCACATACATACAGATTAAACAAATATAAGTAGCCAGAGAATACAGCACCAATGTCAATACCCACTTATTTCAACAAGTTCAACATATTAGCAATAAGTATTAATCCTTAGGATAGAAACCAGAAAGATGGCTTCAAATATCCAATTCCTGACCTAAAGAAATCAGTCCTGTTGATGGGAATATTTGCAGAATATATTTATTCTCTAACACAGCCCTTCCTTCTACATTTTCAAATGTAAACAGCAGATAAAACTTTTCCATTCTGTAAAATGGGAATGGCAACATAAGCCTGGAATCCTGGGTACTTAAGAGGCTGACAAAGGTATCACAAGTCCAACGTCAGTCTAGGTTACATAATAAAGCCTTGTCTAAAATACAAAAAGAAATTTTAAAACTTCAACTTCCAATTTTCAAATTTCTGTGATTTTTGCTATATTATTTGATACGAAAAATGGGCAAAAATGGGGGAAGAAAAATGGCTTTAAAATTTCAGTGAAGACTAGTGGTTAAGACACCTACATTGCATATTTTGCAATATTTATTGGGGTTTTTTTGGGGGGGGTTGTTGTTGTTGTTTTTTGTCGGTTGTGGGCCTGAACTCTGGGCCTGGGCACTGTCCCTCAGCTCTTCAGCTCAAGGTTAGCCCTCTACTACTTTGAGCCACGGCGCCACTTCCGGCTTTTTCTGCTTATGTGGTGGTGAAGAATCGAACCCAGGGCCTCATGCATGCAAGGCAAACACTCTACCACTGAGCCACCTTCCCAGCTTGCAACATTTATTTTAATACTTCAAAAAAAATTAAAGCCAGGCACCAGTAATCCTAGCTACTCAGGAGGCTGAGATCTGAGGATCACGGTTCAAAGCCAGCCTGGGCAGGAGAGACCGTGAGACTCCTATCTCCACTAAACCACTAGAAAACCGGAAGTGGCGCTGTAGCTCAAGTGGTAGAGCGCTCGCCTTGAGCTGAAGAGCTGAGGGACAGCGCCCAGGCCCAGAGTTCAAGCCCCACAACCAACCAAAAATAAATAAATAAGTAGGGCTGGGAAGGTGGCTCAGTGGTAGAGTGCTAGTCTTCCATGCATGAGGCCCTGAGTTTGATTCCTCAGCACCACATGAGCAGAAAAAGCCAGAAGTGGTACTGTAATTCAAGTGGTAGAGCACCAGCCTGGAGCTGAAGAGCTCAGGGACAGCACCCAGGCCCAGAGTTCAGATACCATGACAAACAAAAAAGAAAATAAGAAAAGTTAAGTAAGGTATGTGGCTCATGCTAATAACCCAGCTACTTTGTAGGTTAAGATTGAGAGAACTATACTCTGAGGTCAGTCCACAACAAAAGTCAGCAAGACATCCATTGAAATATATACATACATATAGCGGAGTATGGTGATACCTGCCTGTCATCCCCAGCTACACAGGAAAATGAAGTAGAAAGATGATGGTCCAAGTTGGGCAGGGTAAAAACTTAAGACCCTATCTCAAAAATAACCAAAGTCAAACAATCTTGGTAGAGAGCTACAAACATTTAGAAAATGCTAATAAATTATTTCAATCTTGTATTTGCATTGTTCTTAGTATAACATAACCTAAATGAAAAATTCCACAATAAGTATCTTTGTATTATCACAAGAAAAACTTTTCTCATTCCATTTATTTACAAATAAAATGTAAATTGTAAAAACAAATAGGTAGATAAAAAATTCATCTGGTTCTTTCATTATTTAATATAAGAGAACTAACCTCAGGTGATCATGCAAGCAAGCTTCTGAAAATACTGCTCGCAAAGACTTAAAATCTTCTGTTGAAAATCTTGCTGGATCAATCTTTTCTATACAAGTGAAGAAAGCTATGGCCATAGGTGTCAATGGATTGAGGTTCAGTGATGTTTCAGGTGGAGATAAAGGATCAATGTGAAGCACAGAGACTGAAAAGGTTCCAACAGTGAGTCGAAAAATAAGCTCAGGCCTGGATTCATCCACTGAAACAGACCTAGAAGGGAGAGCTGAAACACATGTGTTGAAATTAGAGATGTAAAATTTAAGAGCAATGGACAACACATCTATCAAAATTCTACAGCATTTATTCATGTATTAATTTTTTTAAAAAAGTTGATCAGCTGGGTATCAGTTGTTCACACTTATAATACTAGCTTCTTAGGAAGCTAAGATCGGAGGGTTGTAGTTCAAAACCAACCTAAGCAGACAAGTCCATGAATCACTTATCTCCAATTAACTAGCCAAAAGCTAGACGTGAAATAATGGCTTAAGTGGAATCATGGATCAAGAGCACTAGCTGTGGACTGGGAAGGTGGCTCAGTGGTAGAGTGCTTGCCTCACATGTATGAAGCCCTGGGTTCGATTCCTCAGTACCACATAAGCAGAAAAAGCCAGAAGTGGCGCTGTAGTTCAAGTGGTAGAGCACTCACCTTGAGCTAAAGAGCTGAGGGACAGTGCCCAGACCCAGAGCTCAGGCCCCATGATCAACCAAAAAAAAAAAAAAAAAAGTCACATTAAAAAAAAAAAAAAAAAAAAAAGACACTAGCTGTGAGCAAAAAACTTGAGAGCTCAATGTCCTACGTTCATGCCCAGCACTGGCAGAACAATACAAACAAAACAGAAAACTCAAAACAACAACAAAAGAAGTTTGAAAACACTACATCATAATATTAATCTAATATAAAAGTTATCTTGTCATCTAATATCCATCATCTTGATGTTCAAGAGGGCATTACAATAGTAAACACATGAACAAATCTTTTGCATTAATAAAACTTCATAAAAAAAAAAATTTAGCCAGGCATTGGTGGCTGCACTGTAATCCTAGCTACTCAGGAGGCTGTGATGTATCACAGTTTGAAACCAGTACAGGCAGGAAAGTCTGTGAGACTCGTATCTCCATTCAACTACCAAAATCTAGAAGTAGTACTGTGGCTCAAGTTGTAGAGAGCTAGCCATGAGCAAAAGAAGCTCAGGAAGAGCACATAAGCCCGAGTTCAAGTCCAAGGACTGGCACCAAAAAAAAAAAAACAACAACAGAGCTGGAAAGGTAGCTCAGTGGTAGAGTGCTTGCCTTGCATGCATGAGGCCCTGGGTTCAATTCCTCAGCACCACATAAGCAGAAAAAGCCAGAAGTGGCACTGTGGTTCAAGAGGTAGAGCGCTAGCCTTGAGCTGAAGAGCTGAGGGACAGCGCTCAGGCCCAGAGTTCAGGCCCCACGACTGATCAAAACACTAACAACAATAAGTCAGGGGACTGAGAGTATAGCTTGGTCATAGAGCACTTGCCTGGCATGTTTAGGGCTTTTAGTTCTATCCCCAGTACTATGTAAAAAGTAAAAATTAAACAGTAAATTTTAAATTTTGAGATTGACTTTAAAGATTTTAAAGATTTTTAAACTGCAATAATATAAAACTTATAGTATGCATCTTTATTAAGAATATCTAAGTGTTTAAATAAAGTACACAGCAAGCAACTACTATAAAATATTTCACAGTGAAATGTTGAAGTTCATTTTCATTCTAAATTTTGATAAATGGCCTAGATCTAAAGAAAAATTATATTAACTTCCCACCACTCCAAAAGAGTAGAGCAAGGGTGCATAGTGTGCAAGGCCCTAGTTCAATCTTCAGCACAAAAAGATAAAAAAAAAAAAAAAAAGCGGAGGGGTGGGGGGGAGGATAGAAGGATACTGCTATTTAAAGAGCTTTGTTTTAATTTTTAAATTTTCCAAAGTTCTAGTGAATACTACCAAGTTTCACCTGTACTTACCAGCCTTCTGTAAAGATGCTGGATGGACTAGGTTAGAAGGGAATGTTGACCCTCTTACTGGCTGCTCTTTATGATGATCAAGGAACTCTCCCCAAGTAGGCTGAAGCTATATAAAAAGACTGCTGTTAAACATCTGAATAAAGTGCAACATTTTAGAAGAACAAAACCTGTTAAAATCTTTTTTTTTTTTTTGGGTCCGGTCGTGGGGCCTGAACTCTGGGCCTGGGCGCTGTCCCTCAGCTCTTCAGCTCAAGGATAGCACTCTACCACTTGAGCCATAGCACCACTTCCGGCTTTTTTCTTATGTGGTGCTGAGGAATCGAACCTAGGGCCTCGAGCATGCAAGGCAAGTGCTCTACCACTGAGCCACCTTCCCAGCCCCAAAATCTTTTGTAAGAACAAAAATAATTACATAATACTTTACCACAGTAGTGCTTAATGGAGATCCTGCTGGGGTATTTGTATATGTACTAGTTAATGATAACTCTAGGTCCATATTTGGTGGGTCCCCAAGAGGTGGAAGAGAAGAGAGACTATGGGACATATCCATATCAGCCATGGAGAAGAACACTTCTTCATCTGGAGAGAAAGAGGCTTCATCATTATACATCCACCAATTCAAGTCTTTATAATAGGCTAACAGACATCAAGATAAACTTCCATCAGGTAACCTGAGATACAGTAATACCTCAAACTGTATGTTATTTCCAAATGGCAGAAGTTATGTGAATGCAAAGAAGATAAGTTAACCAAGGCTGAGTCCTCCTATTCATGACAATTTTATTGACTTCTTAAAAATTAGGTAAGAAGGGGCTGGGAAGGTGGCTCAGTGGTAGAGCGCTTGCCTTGCATGCCTGAGGCCCTGGGTTTGATTCCTCAGCACCACATAAGCAAAAAGAAAAAAGCCGGAAGTGGCACTGTGGCTCAAGTGGTAGAGTGCTAGCCTTGAGCTGAAGAGCTGAGGGACAGCGCCCAGGCCCAGAGTTCAAGCCCCATGACCGGACCCAAAAAAAAATTAGGTAAGAAGTATTATACAATATATGCTTAAAGTGTCATATGACAATTGAGAAGTTAAAATTCAGATTTTTAAAAAATGTACTAAGGGCTCTGGATACAATTCCCAGCACCAAAAATTAAATAAATAGGATAAATATACTGCAATCTCTAGTTTTATATAGATACAGTTGGTGGGGGGTAGAGAACCAAACATGTTATTTTGAATTCTATTTACATTCTAGTTCCTTCTTTCTGGAGCTTGATACTCATGCAAATGATTTGTTGTGGCCAAATTTTTTTGAGTAGGCTTTAACCATCTATTAATCACTTAATCAACTAAATTGATCCTAACTATTTATGATATTAATGTTTATACATTCTCAAGCACCTGTAAATGTAAAGTGAGTGATTATATTTACAAATAACTGATGGGAAGAATAACAAAGAAAAGTTTCCTGTTTAAAAGGATCTATTTACTGTACAACATTAGGTGAACATATTTTGAGAAAATGATTATTCCCAATTAGTGTTTTGTGTTAAATCTATATTTTTACAAATTGATTGCTTTTAAAAAAACAAGACAAAAGCCATATAGTCAAAAAACTACAGCAACCATCTGCTGGTTCCTCACAAGGCTATGGTTAGACTGAGTTGTAAAAAATTTCTTGCAATATGAATGCTTTTCACAGGAGCCAAAATGAAGTTTAGTTTTGTCTATGTGATAATGTATGATTCTGGTGTCAACTGTTTTGAGTTGCTTACCACGGCTAGAAGGTGTACGAGCATTTTCTGTCTCATAAAAGCTTTGCTCTGAAGGTACACCCACAGACAGGGAATCTTTTCTTAAATAATAGCGGTTTAATTCCATCTGAATTCGATATTCATCTTCCTGCTGCATGGGTCGGTTTTTCCTATCTTTATTAGCTAATCCTATTTTGCTAGAATTTTCTATAAGTATACAAAAGGAAAGCAAAACAGTTAGTTGTTTATGTATATTTCAACCCAAATCCATTTACCCAATACCAAGGGTTAACACAAAACCAGTCGGTACAAAAATCACAAATCTAAGTGTTTTAAACAAATACCTAGGAATCAAAAGATCTTATGTCTGATAGAACCATAAAAAATATGTTAATGTTTGTGTTACTGACCATGTTCAAGAATTATATTACCTCAGTTGTATGAAGTACTATCCTCCACAATGAAACAGGCCAGAAAAAATTTGAAAACAAATGTGACAAAATAATTGAATGCAAATTTGTTCTATAGTAACACAATTCCAAAACCTAATTAACTTTTAGGGACTCATATTTGTAATATATCTTCAATTTCACATATCCAAAAATAAACTTTCCTACATGTATATCACATATTTTAATTTAAAAACTTCAGCTGAGCACTCTTAGCTCCCACCTGTAATCCTAGCTACTCAGGAGTCTGAGAGCTGAGGATTGCAGTTCAAAGCCAGCCTGGGCAGAAAAGTCCATTAGACTCTTATCTCCAATAAATTACATTCCCCTCCCCCCCAAAAAAGTCAGAAATGATGCTATGGCTCAGGTGGTAGAGCGCTAGCTTTGAGCAAATGAAGCTCAGGGACAGCACCCAGGCCCAAAGTTCAAGCCCTAGGACATGCAAGAAAAAAAAAACTTCAAAGAACATGGATGGATATACACACACACACACACACACACACACATATACACACAATGTTCAAGAATATAGTAATTAATAATAACAACAACAACAAAATTAAAACAACATAATTATACTTGCCTGGTCCAGCAATAGCTGCTAACATATCCAATAGTAAGTGTACCTGTCTTGGTGACAGGAACAGATGAATGGAATCTATTTGTCCATCAACATCCAACTTAAAAAAAAAAATTAGGATGAATATACTTAATATACTATTAAGCACTAAGAAACTTACCTTTAGTATTGCGTTCCTTCCCCCAATACTCTCTCTCTACTAATTCACACAATTTAAATGAAAAGCCACCAAATGGTTGTTGCAAGAGAGAAAATCCTCTGGAGAAATTCCATGTTAACAAATCTACTGTTATATTTTTGTCTTTCTAAGACGTCTAAGTATTTGGTATCTGAGAAGGCCTTAAGACATAGTCAGGTTGAACATGGTATACAATCCTATAATTCCAGTTATTTAGGAGGCAAAGATCAATCAGAAAGATGATGGTTAAGACCACTCCAAGTAAAAATCAATGTGACCACACCTCAACAAATCACCTAGGCATGATAGCCCATACACCTGTAATCACAGCTACGTGAAAGGCATAGATAAAACGACTGAGGCCCAAGAGCAACCTAGGGTGAGGGGGACTGCAGAGGACCCACAAGATTCTATCTAAAAAATAAAATAAAACAGGGCTGGAAGCAAGACTCCCACGGTAGAGGCTGTGGGCTCATACTCAGTACTACAAAATAGAAAAACAAAAATAAAATTAAAAAAATGTCCTCAAGAAAAAATATTAACTAGCATTAGGACTATTCATTGACTTTCAAAAACCTAAGATCAACACCTCTGTAACTCAATTTAAACCAAGAACAAATAACTTTCCTAAGGCTACCCTGGGTCCCATGGGTTCCACTCTAGAAAAGCTCGTGAAAACCAGAGTTAACAGTGTAATTCTCACATTTCTAGTGAGCTGCACAAAATCTGCTCCTATGCACACAAAGAGTGGAAGTCACAGACACAACTTGCTCTCCTGCACAAGGTTGGAAGAAGTGTTTATTGTTGACTGCCTTCTTGTTGCAACACTTTATCCACTCTCCTTCCTAGAAACAAAAGCTCCATCACACTCTTCTTAATACTACCCTATACCTCTACCCTATACTAGGGTAGCAGCACTGAATATATCTCTCCTACTTTTCATCCACATCCATCCACATCCTTAGTTCTAGCATGTTAACTCGGACTTCCATTCTCTTTTTAAAATTTTCTAATTGATAAACAATTTAATTAATAAAACACACTAGTAGAGGTAGGCATAATGGCACAAGCCTATAATCCCAACTCTCAGGGGGCAGCAGCAGAAGGATCATGGGTTTGTGGTAAGCCTGGGCTACATAGTTTAAGGTCAGCCTGGTGAGACCCTATCTCAAAACAAATAGCAACAACAATAAATAACAAAATGGCTTCTACCCAAGAGGCAAAAAAAAGCCCTTCTAATTCTAGAAACAAAAATAAAACATGTAGTACTTTAAGAACACTATTCATTCTCTTATAATAATCAAATAATCACCACTTTTTAAATATACATTATACATATTAAATATCATCATATATTATAAAATATGTAAGTATATAATATAGTATATGCGTAGCAAACTATATATGGGTGTTAATAGGCAAATCAAATAATTCTTAGTACTATTTGTTTTATGATAAGCAAAGATTCAGAAAGGCTGACTTGCACTAGGCCACAGAGATTCAGAGATGGGATTTTAACCTAGGCTGACCCAGATACAAAGCCTTTACTCCCTGCTCAAAACAGTCATAAATTAACTGTGTGTGAGCCACCAGTGCCTGGTTCATACTGTGTAAGGTTCCTCACTGACTGCTGACATCCTATGCTATGTTCTCAATTGGAACTGGAAATGAAATTGACTGGAAATGTGCTTCTGATTATATGATAAATATTTTGTTTTTTTAAATTTCTTGGTATTGAAAGCATAATTTCTCACTGGAATCACTGATTCTCATTACAACAGAAGATCAAGAGTTTCATTTCTAGGCCTGGGAATGTACCTTAGGGGTAGAGTGCTTGCCTAGCATGCATGAAACTCCAGGTTCAATTCCTCAGTTATCACAGAATCAGAAAAGGCTGGAAGTGGTGCTGTGACTTAAGTGGTAGAATGCTAGTCTTAAGCAAAAGAAGCTAAGGAATAGTACCCAGGCCCTGAGTACAAGTCCCAGGACTGGCAAAAAAAAAAAGTTTCACTTCTAATTTTTATACAATGTTTAATTTACTACTGAATTTGGAATACAAAGACCAAATACTTCTAGGAATACAAAGGACTGTAAGTTGGGCTGGGAAGGTGGCTCAGTGGTAGAGTGTTTGCCTTGTATGCATGAGGACCTGGGTTTGATTCCTCAGCACCACATAAGCAGCAAAAGCTGGAAGTGGCGCTGTGGCTCAAGTGGTAGAGTGCTTGCCTTGAGCTGAAAAGCTGACAGTGCCCAGGCCCAGAGTTCAATACCCACAACCAACAACAACAACAAAAATATTGTAAGTAACAACTGAAAAAATTTCAATAAAGAAAAACACAGAAACTGAGGCAAAACATCTCTAAATTTAATTCAGGCACTTTCCCTAATTTCATATCTAATGCATTTCCAAAACATCTGCTAAGACTGAACATGTGATCCAGAGGATACTACTCTTAAAAAATAAATGTGAAATCTTTCATAGTATTTTGTTGTATCTTTTTTGGCAGTTCTTAGGTTTGAACTCTAAGGCTCATACTTTCTTACTGAATCATGCCTCCAGTCCTCTTATGCATTATTACTTTTGAGATAAGGGTATCACTACATTCTTCATTTAGACTGTGATCCTCTTGAAGGGGTTTCACATGTATGCCTAGGCTGGCCTTAAACTATGGTCCTTAAAACATCAGCCTCCCAAGTAGCTAGGATTATAAGCATAAACAACTTGTGCCCTGCTATTCACAACTTTTTTTTTTTTTTTTGGTGCAGGGACTAGGGCTTAAACTTGGGGCATGGCACTGTCCATGAGCTCTTTTGCTCAAGGCTACTGCTCTACTTCTTGAGCCACAGCCAACTTCTGGAATTTTGTGGTTAGCTGGGGATAAGAGTCACACAGACTTTCCGGCCAGGGCTGGCTTTAAACCCTGAGCCTTAGATCTCAGCCTCTTCAGTAGCTAAGATTACAGGCATGAGCCACCACCGCCCAGTTTATTCACAGCATTTGAACCCACACATGGAAAACAAGTTTAATGAACACCGGAGATGAAGATCTAACACTTCAGCACCCTTAGTAATGCCACCTTCTCCTACACTGTAAAAAAGTTATTAAGGGGCTGGGAAGTTGGCTCAGTGGTAGAGTGATTGCCTCGCATGTATAAGGCCCTGGGTTTGATTCCTCAGTACCCCATAAGCAGAAAAAAGCCAGAAGTGGTGCTCTGGCTCAAATGGTAGAGCACTCGTCTTGAACTGAAGAGCTAAGAGACAGTGCCCAGACCCAGAGTTCAAGTCCTACGACCGACAAAAAAGAAAAAAAAAAGTTATTAAAATCCAATGCTATAAACATTACTCTTACCATTTAGTGTCTACTTTCATTAAATGCAAATAAAATGTATACAAATACTCATTATATAAAGCTACTGCATCTCTAAATATTAAATATTGAGTAGTATGCAACACCACTGTGAAAAATTTCCTACTGCTCATTTGTCACCTGATATTCGGAACTCTAAGAGTAACACAAATCAATACACAATATGTAAAACTTAGGGTTTGCAGAAAAATCAAAAACATACAAATATTGAAGACTAAACTTAATCAAAACAGAATTATAAGTTATTGCTATGGTTAAAACAATGGCAAATGTATTCCCTAAAGAGAAAGCTGTGCTGGTTTCCCAAGGATGATGTCATGACCTAGGAGTTCCTGTGGTGTTCACACACACATACATCTATCTGTACATTAACAATCCCTTTCCATTATGTCATAAAGAGGCTGAAGTCCAAATATAGGACTTCATATCCTTTCAGGTAGTACAGAACAGGAAACAGTAGGACAATAATCATTAATAGAACTATATTAATCATTACCTTCCTCTTTCAACTCTAGTCAAGTGTACTAACCTAAGGAAGGATTTTGGGGGCAATCCTCTGAAAATCTTTTCATGCACATTCATAAGTCTTTAGTGGATCCATATCCTATGTTCCCATAGCAAGTCTGTGTCCCATAGCAAGTCTTAGGGCACCCTAAGAGACATTGCTAAGGGAACATAGGATGTCTTGTGTCTCTCAGGTATTTTTCACTACAGAGACTGTAATCCATTCATCTCTGCATCTATCAAAAGAACTTACACAAAGCCTAACTCAGCAAACATCTACAGCTATGTGGATAAACAGATAAATGAATAAACCCAAATACTCTTAATTTAAACTTCATTTTGTAGAGATTAGATAGCTCGTTCCCAAAGTATGAAAGTAACACCTGACATATCCCTTTTTAACTGTTAGAATGCAAGCTCCCTGAATTCCAACAGACTCATCCATATTGTTGACAAAGAAACAAGCATTTAGTGCTTGTTCACTAAGAAACCAGTGTCTTCAAAAACTAGGAGACACATAAAAGGGTTAATCCCTTTTCTTAAATATTACACAACTATAAAGTCACTAAACCCAAAATATATATGTTTTATATATTTGATTTTAAATAGTATCTTCTATAGTTCTGCCTTTCAAATTTCTTTTCCTCTTAAACTTAACTTTATGATTATTGTTAATAATGTTATGTTATGTAATGATTTGTTAGTTATTCTAACTAATGAAAGCATGCCTAACTTTTTTGAAGCATTTTTTTAAATCTGAGGTTGTTGGAATGGAGGGAGAGTGAGTGGAGGAAGCAACCCTTGATAAAATCTGTCCTCACTAGAATTTTGTGACCCTAAGACACCCCGAGCTCCAACTGAGAATAAAAGCACTGACTTCAAAAGCAGCAGATACCTTCTTTACAGGTAGAGTAATAAAGCTGTGAGTCACTGCAAAAACTAAACACTTGTAATTTTACTAAAGAAAATAAAATAAACACTGACCTTAGCTCCAGGAAGTACTTCATTCTGTTTCCAGGTGAGACTCAACTCTAACCTGCCGACTAAACTTCCAATCTGTACCGGGTCAGAGTGTGCTATCTCTGGTAAATTTCTAGTTAGTTGTGGGTGTGGTTCATAAACAATTTTGGGGTTCCAGCTAGGTGACAGCTTGGGCTCAGTTTCCTACACCAATACAAAAAGAAAGTAAATGTTTTATAAGTCTTTAGTGTGAATAAATCAGAATGCAAAATACAAATGTCAAGAACAAAATAACTGACATGCAAAACTGTATTGTTCCTTATAGGAATAAGGGAAAAATAAACATAGTACCAAGTTAGCATAGTATCATAGAAATAAAAGCAAATCATGGAAAGGGATTTATTTTTTAAGTACAATTATCTGCTCAAACTACAGCAATAAGAAAATCCAACAGGCAGTGTACAATCAAGAAAGCTAAGCAGATATAGTGGCACACACTTGTATTCACAATACTTGTAAGAGTTGAAGCAGAAGGATTACAAGTTCAAAGTTAATCTGAGTTATACAGCATGTTCCATTCAAGGCTAGCCTGGGCTACAAAGTAAGACTCTGACGCCAAAAAAAAAAAAAGAGGAAAACTTGACTTATATAATAACAAGGCAAATTATGAAATGCCTGACTTATAAAGAGGAATTAACAGAGTTCAATAATTATCTAAAGATTTTTAAAGGAAATGGCGCTGTGGCTCAAAGTGGTAAAGTATAAAGCTTGAACAAAAAGCTCAGGACAGCACCCAAGCCTTGAGTTCAAGACCCAAGACCAACACACAAAAAAGATTTTTAAAGTCTGATTCATAAGATATATTTTCAGTAATATAAGATATTACTGAATATAAGATAACTTTGCAGTATATAAGGTAATTTCCCCTCCCCCCCCCCAATCCTAGGGCTTGAACTTAGGGCCCAGTATCCCCAAGCTGTTTTGCTTCAGGCTAGCTCTCTACCACCTGAGCCATAGCTACATTTTTTTTTTGGGGGGGGGGGGGAGTAGGATAGGTGGTTAATTGCAGATAAGATTCTCACAGACTTTCCTGTCTAGGCTAGGCTTCAAACCATGATCCTCTTATTTCAGCCTCTTCTTGGGTAGCAAAGATTACAGGCATAAGTCCTTAGCTCCTGGCTATGCAAGGTAAATTTTAACACTGCTTGATTTCTTCCTTTTATTGTCAAAGAATATTAAATATTAACACATCATTTTGGCCCAAGACATAGTACCCAAGGGTTCTCTATCAAAGTAATACATAGAAAACATAGAATACATAGGACACCAGGTAGCTCAGCTCATACCTGCAATCCTAGCTACTCAGGAAGCTGAGATCTAAGGATCAAAGTTCAGAGACAAATCTAAGAGATTCTACCTCCAATTAACCAGCAGGTAGGTTATGTGGTAGAGTGCCAGCCGTGAGCAAAAACGTCAAGGCCTTGAGTTCAAGCTCCAGTACCAGTTAAAAAAAAATAAAAAAATATATATATATAATAATTATTATTATTCCCAACTAGATGAGAAACATAGTATATACCTAGCAAAATTTAATAACCCTTGTTTTTTCCCCTTTAGACAATCTCACTACATAGCTCAGGCTGACCTGGAACCCCTGATCCTCTTGCCTTAGCTTAAAGCCCTCATTTAATCTGTACCAAAATTTGTATCATGTTTTGGTCATATGTTTTCTTTTTTTTTTTTTTTTTTTTTTGAGGGGTCCGGTCGTGGGGCCTGAACTCTGGGCCTGGGCACTGTCCCTCAGCTCTTCAGCTCAAGGCTAGCACTCTATCACTTGAGTCACAGCGCCACTTCCAGCTTTTTTCTTTTTTCTTATGTGGTGCTGAGGAATCAAACCCAGGGCCTCATGCATGCAAGGCACGCGCTCTACCACTGAGCCATCTTCCCAGCCCTGGTCATATGTTTTCTTTTCTTACCACTGGTGCAGTTGAACACACTGGGGAAGATTTTGCTGATGCAGAAAACTCATCCCAAAAGAGAGAGACTCCAGAGAGCTGAAGTAACTTGTGAGCAAAAGCTGTCGGCTGATGTACATTAATTCCTGAGGTTTCATCAGCAGTTTCATCACAGTAGACAGTTCTGAAACAAAAAGAAAAACAAAAAGAATTTGTACAAAACTCTATAAAAACATATTTGCATGATTTAAAAAAAAAGGACCAAATTTAGCTCTAAGAATTTTTCAGATGTCACTACTCTCTCTTAGACTATGTCTATGATAATAATGTCTATAATGTAGGACAGCAGCAAGGACCGCACTTCAGTAAGTACTTAATTCTGAGAAAGACAGTTTTATAAAGCTCATAAATTGGAGGACAAATTAATAACTCCCTAAGTTAGCTTCAAGGAAAACAACTCCATTTCCTTTCAAAACATCCATCCTTTCCCACTTTCTTCTCCCCTCTCTCCCCTTCCCTCTCCATTCCTTTTGAGACTATCAAATATAGCCTGGGCTGGCCTCAACCTCATGATCCTCCTTCTCATCTCCTAAGTGCTATGATATCATCACACACAGCCTCAAAACATCACTGGGCACCAGTGGCTCACGCCTGTAATCCTAGCTACTAAGGAGGCTGAGATCTGAGGATCACAGTTTAAAGCCAGCCCAGGCAGGAAAGTCCATGAGACTCTTATCCCCAATAAACCAACAGAAAACTGAAAGTGGGGGGCTGAGAAGGTGGCTCAGTGGTAGAGTGCTTGCCTTGTATGCATGAGGCCCTGAGTTCGATTCCTCAGCACCACATGAGCAGAAAAAGCTGGAAGTGGGGCTGAGGCTCAAGTGGTAGAGCACTAGTCTACAGCTGTAGAGCTGAGGGACAGCGCCCAGGCCCAGAGTTCAGGCCCTATGACCAACAAAAAAAAAAAAGAAAACTGAAAGTGGTGCTATGGCTCAAGTGGTAGAGTGCTTGCCCTGAGCTGAAGAGCTCACAGACAGCACCCAGGCTCAGAGTTCAAGCCCCACAACTGACACCAAAAACAAAAACAAAAAACAAAAACAACATCTCTTGGCAACAGTGAGACACTATTTGTCACAAGTCTGATAATAAATACATTGCTTTAATTCCTGTGTGATTAATCCTCAGATACAATAGGTAAAGAATATGGTTTCTAAAGGCATGAGATGTTAGATATTTAGATGTTAGATGTTAGATTTTTTTTTTTTTTGTGGGGGGTCCAGTCGTGGGGCCTGAACTCTGGGCCTGGGCACTGTCTCTCAGCTCTTCAGCTCAAGGCTAGCACTCTACCACTTGAGCCATAGTGCCACTTCCAGCTTTTTTCTTTTTGCTTATGTGATGCTGAGGAATCGAGCCCAGGGCCTCAGGCATGCAAGGCAAGCGCTCTACCACTGAGCCACCTTCCCAGCCCTGTTAAGATGTTTAATAAGGTAATTCACCTTCAAAAATATAGTGTGTTTAACTGCAGTTATGTTAACAATAACTTTATTAATAGGTGTGTTTTGTGAAAGAAAGCCTAATGTATCTTTTTCAACCTTGGTCAAGATCCCAAATATCTACATATACAATGAATTCAGTGTTTATGCCTAATCCTGTAGATTTCAGTTAGCAGTATATACCATCAACACAGGTTCCATGTGATGAGCATACATAGAAAGTGAGGCTGGACACTGGTAGCTCATGCCTGTAATCCTAGCTACTCAGGAAGCTGAGATTTGAGGATCATGGTTCAAACCCAGCCAAGGCAGAAAAGTCCATGAGACTCTTATCTACAATTAACCACCAGAAAACCGGAAGTGGCGCTGTGGCTCAAGTGGTAGAACACTCGCCTTGAGCTGAAGAGCACAGGCCCAGAGTTCAAGCCCCATGACTGACAAGAAAGAAAGAAAGCTAAAAAAAAAAAGTGTTTCTATCATTTTAAACACATCTCCACTGTACATATGGACCTTAGATTAATCCTCACAGTATCCTTAAAAAAGAAACAGTGCCCTTACCCTTTTTCAATAAAGTAACATGTCAAGCAAAAGAAAAAAAAATTCCCATTAATGAACCAACAAATATTACAATGCTTACATGAAAACTCTAAAAGCAGTACCTTAAATATTTTTATTTAGTATTAACTGAGAGATAATTGCTTGCTTTGAACTCAACAAAATGTATTAAATATAATTATACACAGCTAGTACTTTCAGTTTTTAGTAATAAACCTAAATCATAACTTGGAAAATGTTTCACCTGAAATTATACAACAATTTATCATCATTATATCTGGTCTCCAAAAGCATCCTGAAATCTAATATGAGAGTTGGAACACACTCATTTAATTTCAGACAGAAAAATTCTTACCTTTCTATTCGAATTTCAAGTGCAGTTCCAGTTTTGGAATTTTCTGGCACATGTTCAATTCTCAAAACAGTGTCTATAAAAGTTACTTTTACTCTTCTTAGTACTAAAGTAAACAAAGAATCATCAATGAACAACCCACACATATACTAAACAAAAAATTTTGGTTTTGTTTTTTAGGTGCTGGGGATCAAACTCAGGGGCCTCATGCTAGGCAGTACTCTACCAATTGAGCTACATCCCCAGCCCGAAATAGAATCTTCTAGTTAAAAAAATGAATATTAGCTTGAGAGGAACTTATAAAATAAAGCAATTGGATTTCTTTCCTTTAATATTACCAAATTCTGAGTTTTTAAAGAAACATTGTTCCTTTCAGAACATTTACTCAAGTTCATCTCAACAGACACTTGGGGAAAAATTACTAACACTGCTGAATTCTAATTCTGTGTTCCACAGCAATAAATTCAACAGAGAAACTTGAGAATACATGAACATGCAATTAAATTGAATACTATATATAAAATAAGATCAATTCCAAAGTTTTTTATTTTTATTTATTTGTCAGTCCTGGGGCTTGAATTCTGGGCCTGGGTGCTGTCCCTCAGCTCTTTGTCTCAAGGCTAGCTCTCGACCACTTGAGCCACATTACCATCTCCAGTTTTCTGATGACTTACTGGAGATAACAGTCTCATGAACTTTCCTGCCCAGGCTGGCTTTGAACCACAATCCTCAGATCTCGGCCTCCTGAGTAGCTAGGATTATTACAGGAGTGAGCCACTGGTGCCAGGCTTTTTTTTTTTTTTTTTTTTGGTGTCAGTTGTGGGGCTTAAACTCTGGATCTGGGTTGTCCCTCAGCTCTTCAGCTCAAGGCTAGCACTCTACCACTTGAGCTACAGCACCACGTCTGTCTTTTTTTGTTTATGTGGTACTAAGACATTGAACCCAGGGCTTCATGCCTGCTAGGCAAGCATTCTGCAACTAAGCCACATTCCCAGCCCTCAATTCCAAAGTTTTAAAATGAGAACAGTAAGTCTTTTTAATTAAAAAAACCTCCAACAGACTACCTTATACAAGGTTTATTAAATAACTGTACTAAATTGCTGAATAAAATCAGAAATTTTAAAACTGCCCAATAATGCCAAACCTGTTTCAATGGTTTCAGCAAACTTTTCAAGTCCTTCAAAAGGCTGGGATCCTTCTCCTTGTTCATCTGTTAGTTTCTGGCTAAGACATTCTTTTGCCAACTGCATACTGCTGGTCATGAAACTTGACCAGTACATAGGCTCAGAACCAGATGCTACAGAAAGTAAACAGTAATCCAAAGTTATTTCTCAAGATTACAAAAATGCCATTTCTTAATAGTTCAAGTAACCTTTTAACTTTATGGTATTACCTAGGAAAACCATATTCTAGAAATTACTCTTCAGATCATACCATTTTTTGACTGAGGAAAAAAAAATCCACAGGAAAAAGTTCAACAACATGTACTCTTATTTCATGTTTTTATTTTTAGCAAATGTTAATTCTGGTATCAATAAGAACAGGTTTGGTTTTTGTTGCTGTTATTTTGTTTTTGTTTTTGCTTTGTCAGTCATAGGGCTTGAACTCTGGGCCTGAGTGCTGTTCCTGATCTCGTCAGCTCAAGGCTAGCACTCTAACACTTGAGCCAGAGCGCCACTAATGGTTTTCTGGTGGTTAATTGGGGATCAGAGTCTCAAGGACTTTCCTGCCCGGGCTGCCTTCGAGCCACAATCCTCAGATCTCAGCCTCCTGAGTAGCTAGGATTATAGGTGTCAGCCACCGGTGCCAGACTAAGAATAAGTATTTTTACATGGGCATGGCATTAAATTTTATAGAACAGAAATCAACAAGCTTTTCTGTAAAAGATTATACATTAGATATTTGCAAGAAATATTTTCTAGGGGCTGGGAAGGTGGCTCAGTGGTAGAGCGCTTGCCTTGCACACATGAGGCCTGGGTTCAATTCCTCAGCACCACATAAGCAAAAAGAAAAAACTCTGGAAGTGGTGCTGTGGCTCAAGTGGTAGAGCGCTAGCCTTGAGCTGAAGAGCTGAGGGACAGTGCCCAGGCCCAGAGTTCAGGCCCCAGGACCGTACCAAAAAAATATATATATACTTTTTTTTTCTATAGCCCAGATCATATCAAATAAGCAACATTTTATTTACAGAAACAGATGCAAGGTCTGACTTCGCCTGCAGGCCCCAGTTTGCTAACTCTTCTATAGAGGATAAAAAAATAAATTAAGAATTCTGCCTTAAAAGCTAACCATCTAAGCCAGGCGCCAGTGGCTCATGCCTATAATCCTAGCTACTCAGGAGTCTGAGATCTGAGGATCGCAGTTCAAAGCCAGCCCGGGCAGGAAAGTCCGTGAGACTCTTATCATCAATTAACCACCAGAAAACTGGAAGTGGCGCTGTGACTCAAGTGGTAGAGTGCTCAACTTGAGCGGAAGAGCCCAGGGATAGCACCCAGGCCCAGAGTTCAAGACCCAGGACTGGAAAAAAAAAAAAATCTGACCATCTAGGGCAGGGAATGTGACTCAGTAGTAGATCGCTTGCCTAGCATGCATGAGGCCCTGTGTTCGATTCCTCAGAACCACATACACAGAAAAAGCTGAAAGTCATGCGGTGGCTCAAGTGGTAGAGTGCTAGTCTTGAGCAAAAAGCAGCTCAAGGACAGTGCCCAGGCCCTGAGTTCAAGCCCCAGGACTGGCAAAAAAAAAGCTGGCCATCTACGAGAAGAAACAGAATATGACTAAGAATTAACAGGCAATTCTTTGGTATCATCAGAAAACATTATAAAAGCTAAGAGAAGAGGTTAATTTTTCCAGCTCAGGGGTGAACAGGAAATAAGGTAGAGGTAGCAGATGACCCAGGGTTGGAAATCATTTAAATGTAGACAAAATAGAAGAGCATTCTTGGAAGATGAAGTACATCAACTATGAACAATCCTTTCCATATTTTCTGCTGAGAAAACTTCATCATACTTCCTTACATTATTCAAAACAAGCTGAGTGATTACTAGAATTACTGCCTTTCAAAAAAGAAAATTTTAAAGTCCTTTTAATGGTCTATTTTTCAAGGAAAAGTATTTAACTCTCCAAAGGAAAATGTTGTATCTATTCATCATGGTTAAAAGACAGAATTGTCAGGCTGGGGATGTGGCTTAGTGGTAGAGTGCTTACCTATCATGCATAACGCCCTGGGCTCGATTCGCCAGTATCACATAAACAGAAAAAGCTGGAAGTGGCGCTGTGGCTCAAGTAGTAGAGTACTAGACTTGAGCAAAAGCAGCTCAGGGACAGTGCCAGTGCCAAGACCCAGGACTGGCAAAAAAAAGACAGACTTGCCTTCTAAGTTAAATATCAGATTATTAAAGAAGACATTCATAACCAACTTTCAAAATGCAGGTCACTGTATTTCCAATTGTAATTTATGTCTTTTTTTTCCCTCAGTACCAAGGTTATAACTCAGGGCCTTGAATTTGCTAGGCAAGCACTCTATCACTGGCTGAGCCACATCTCCAGCTCTCTATTAAGCATAATTTAACCTTCTAAGTTTCAAGAAACAGAAGTATAACTATGAATTTACACTTTCTGGGGTGTAGTGCTTATACTGGAGCTTGAACTCAGGGCCTAAGCACTGTCCCTGAGCTTTTGTGCTCAAGGCTAGCACTCTACCACAGCCTCTCTCTTTTTTTCAGCTTTTTTTTCTTTTTCTTTTTGTGGTTAATTGGAGATAAGTCTCATGAATTTTCATGCCCAGGCTGGATTCATACCACAAATCGTCAGATCTCAACCTCCTGAGTAGCTTGGATTACAGGTGAGTCACTGACACCCAGTTAAAATTGTTATTTTCATTGTTGCAAATCTATATACTTTATTTACCAATTCTATTCTTTTTAATTTTCTGCATTTATAAGTAAATAACTACTGTAAAGAGTATTTCCTTCTTCCTGCACACCTTATATACTTATTTATCTCTAATCAGTTTGAACTTAACTTTTAAAACTTTAATGTATGATAATCACTTATTTTCCTTTTATTTAACACTCCCATTGTCCTAGACGTGGCCAACAGACCACTGCTGTATCCTTTCAACATTTCTCCATCAATCTTCAAGTACTCTTCCTTGTTTTAGGGCACAATACTTGGACTATTTCAAATACAAAGTCACTTTAGAGAACTGGTAACAAGTAATTATATAAGCCAAATTCTCTGTATACTAAAGTTCCTGAGACTAAATGAGGAAACTATTTTAAAGCTAAAATCACACAAATACTACATATAGCCAAGTACCAGTATTTTATCATCTGAAAATCCCACAAATACAATACAAAGTAATACATCAAGCACTAACATTTTTTAAATTAAGTTACTTTCTCAATCGCTGAAAGATAAAAGTAGAATAATTAAAGCAGAAACATCTAACACACATACCTAGGCGAGGTCTAGGTCGAAAGACCATTTCTAACCCTTTCACTTCAAGTGCACAATTATCCTGTAGTAAGGAGCCCCATGGAACTGACAGAGAAATTGACTGAATGAATCCTTCCGTGACTTCTAAAGGTGCATCTGCTGACTCCAAAATTTCATTGAGACACTAAAGAGGAAAGAAAGAGTTCATTTTCAAATTACAGAAATCTGTTAACTTTTTCAAAGATATGACTGTATCCCCATGTGTCAAGTACATAGTAAACAAAGGCAAAAAAAAAAAAAAACCACACAGCTGGGCGCTGGTGGCTCACGCCTGTAATCCTAGCTACTCAGGAGGCTGAGATCTGAGGATCGCATACTATATTGCTACCAGTAGAAGAGATAGGATTCAGGACTATTACTTCATATTGAATATACTTCTTTGCTGTTTGAATTTTATGCAATGAACATTTACTAGCTTCATCAAACAATTAAAAATATATCAAAGTGTTTTAAAGTGTACAAAGGCAATGACTAAATCTTTGCAATATGACAATCAATCAACATTAATCAACTAAGAAACAGAATTTAACAAAATTCTCTTTCACATCAGGCCCAAACTTTTTGTCCCTGTTTTTTTTTTTTTTTTTGGGGGGGGGGGGGAGGTCCACTTGTGGGCCTGAACTCTGGGCCTGGGCGCTGTCCCTCAGCTCGTCTTCAGCTCAAGGCTAGCACTCTACCACTTGAGCCACAGCACCACTTCTGCCTTTTTTTTTTTCTGCTTATGTGGTGCTGAGGAATCAAACCCAGGGCCTCATTCATGCAAGGCGAGCGCTCTACCACTGAGCCACCTTCCCAGCCCCTTTCTGTCCCAGTTTTATGGCTATTGTAAACTTATAAACAGACTGGTTTGTAAAGTTGTACTGTAACATTAAATATGCATTTATTTACTTATTTATTTTTGCCTATTGTACACTTAAACTCCAGGCCTGAGTGCTGTCCCTGAGCTTTTTCACTCAAGGCTAGAGCTGTACCACTTTGAGTCACAGTTCTACTCATGGTTTTCTGGTGGTTAATTGGGGGCTTTTCTACCCAGACTGGCTTTAAACTAAGATCTTCAGATCTCAGCCTCCCGTAGATAGGATTCCACACATGAACCACCATTTCCTGGCTGTAATATTTAAAGAACAGACACAGTCAGGCACCAGTGGTGCATACAAGTACACAGGAAGCTAAGATTGGGAGGATCATGATTCCAGGCGAAGCCCAGGCAGAAAAATCCACAAGCCTCCACCATAGTGAAAACCAGCCAGACATGGTGTTGAGTGTCTGTCATCTCACTAACAACAGAAAACCTAAAATAGGCAGTTGTGGTGTAGGCACATGTCCTAGAAGGAAAAAATACTATCTCAAACATATCTAGCACAATACAGACACCAGTGGCTCACATCTATAATCCTAACTACTCAGGAGGCAAAGATCCGATAATTGTGGTTCAGGTTCAAAGCAAGCCTACATAAATCCTCCAGACTCTTATCTCCAATTAACCAGGAAAATATGTAGGTGCATGTGCATATGCACGCACACGCATGCGCACGCACACAAAACTGAGGCACGATTCAAGCAGAAGACTGCCAGCCATGATGGGAAAAGCTGAGTGAAGAGTATAAGGTCTAAGTTTGGGAAATAAATAGCCAATCAGTACAAAAATGGATAGAAGCCTTATTAGCTAAGCAGTAAAGTGCCTGCCTAGTAAGCAGAAGCTCTGAATTCAGAATCTTAAGACAAAAAAAAGAAAACATACAATATTTTGGTAAATGTTAACAAAATAATTTTGAAGAGTCAACAGTTCAAGAATTTATATTTAGGCCCACAAAGCTATAATTTCCCTGAGTACAAGATGTCCGAATAGGTTATACTTATACATAGTCATACATGCACTTGGCAAAATCCCCTGAATATTGTAGTGTTACAAAATACTTTAAGTTTACTCTGTGAAATTCCAAGGTCTTCTATGATATATGAGTAGTAGAACAACATTCTCAACCTACTTGGCCAAACTCATCTCATTTTCTACTCAGGCAACATTTAAGTTATTATTCCATTGAAGTATATCCATGTGATTCAATAATTCTAGAACCAAAAGTGGAGCCACCCGAACTACTCAGCAAATACATGCCCTGTAGTAGATGCTTCAGTCCTTTCCTTTCATTTACGATTATCTCAATTTTCATGTATATAGACAGAAAAGGAAAAAGCAACATTCTAGTCTCCATTGTAGCATTTGCTACTCCATGTTCCACTAACTGAATAAAGTTTTATTACATATTCATGTATAAAGGTTAAGTTGCAATCAAAACAAAATTTTAAGTGAAATTAAAAAGCTTTAGGAGAACAAATCACTAATCTTCCTGGACACAGTAAGTTCCTATGAGAAAAGTGTCTAAGTTCCCTATTGCTACTCCAGCCCCTCACAGTGGCAGGTGCTAAGTGCTCAATGAATATACTGAATCCCAGCTGGACATGTGGCTTAGTGGTAGAGTGCTTGCCTAGCTGATCCTAGGTCTTGAACTCAGGGCCTGGACACTGTCCCTGAGCTTTTTTTTTTTTTTTTTTTTTTTTTTTCTGGTGCCAGTCCTGGGGCTAGTGGAGATTAGAGTCTTATGGATTTTGCTGCTCCGTTTGGCTTCCAACCATGATCCTCAGATCTCATCCTCCTGAGTAGCCAGGATCACAGGCATGAGCCATCAATGCCTGGCTATCCCTGAACTTTTTTGCTCAAGGTCAGTGCTCTACCACTTGAGTGTCATATCTCAGCCTCCTGAGTAGCTAGGATTTCAGGCATGAGCCAGTGCCTGGCTATCCCTGAGCTTTTTTGCTCAAGGTTAGTGCTCTACCAATTGAGCCACAACTCCCATCTCTGACTTTTTTGGTGCTTACCAAAAAAGTATTACAGACTTTCCTGCCTGGGCTGGCTTTGAACCTCTATCCTCAGATCTCAGCCTCCTTGGTCACTAAAGATTACAGCCACTGACACACAGGAACAGGTAGTTTCTTTTTATACACAGTAGTAGTTTTAAATATGCCAGCCATTCCTGTGATGACACAGGGCTAGTAAAAAAAAGAGCATACCTAATCTATCTTTTCAAAGTAAGAGTAACATTTTAATAATGAGTAAGAGAATAACTGCTTTATGAAAGATACTTGTACTACAGGGAAAATATTTTTTAAACCTATACTTGAAAATGTTTCCATTGTTCTGATTTTTTTTGTTGTTGAAAACACAGCCAATCATGTTGGTGTACACCTGTAATCTCAGAACTCAGGAGGCCGAGGCCAGATGATTACCTGTTCCAGGCCAGCTGAGCCTCAAAAACAAAGTCTATTTTTTCATGTCATTATCCACACAGAATGCAAAGGTCTGAAAACATTAAACACAATCCCAACCAACCTAAAACTTCTCAAGAGAGTTCAAAAACTAAATTTTAAGTTTAATTTTTATATATTAAGTATATAAAAACACATTCCCATCCAAGTAATTAACAAAAACTGAAATGTGGGAAAACAGAGATGTCAATTTCAATAAATTCATTTGCATAGTTGACAGGTAAAAACTGAAACATAAGCAGTAGTGTAATCTATGATACAATCCTTCTGTTAGGATCTATAAATCTTGGGAGGTTATCTTTTTCTTCCATCCTGAAAAGTTATTAAAATTAATTGGATTTGCTAGAAAATAGAAACAAGAGGTTATTCTTTGTTTTTAAAAAAAAGTAATTGAATTTGGAACCAGAACTTCTATTATATATACCTAAGAATCACATCAACATTTATCTTAGTCATCAACACAACACACTAAAATAAGTAAATCAGAAACGGTAAACAGTGCTTACTGGAGGCTTTGAAATCATTATTTTCATTGATACAACTCCTACCTTCAAGGAGAATAAAACAATACTTAAATTAACTCTAATCATGAATTATTTTGCACTGGGAATATGGCTTAGTGATAGAATGCTTGCCTAACATGCAAGAAGCCCTGGGTTTGATTCCTCCATACCACATAAACAGAAAGTGGAAGTGGCGCTGTGGCTCAAGTGGTAGAGCTCTGGCCTTGAGCACAGTCACACAGAGCCCAGGCCCTGAGTTCAAGCCTTAGGACTGTCAATCAATCAATCAATCAATAATTTTGCCAACCATCTTGAACTCAAACTATAAAACTGGCATATAACCATTTCTGATTTTCTGGATTAAATAACACTACACAAACGAAAAGCAGATGCTCAATAAACATTGCCTCCTTCTTTGCCTTAAACTATCTGATGTACTAAGATGATGGGCTTAGGAATTAGATAGATTTGAATCTCACTATAACATTTGCTATGTGACTTTAGGCAAATAATTTAACTCCATTTTTAAAATAGAAATAATGTTCACCTGTTAGGATTAATATGACATCACAAAAAGTCACTAATCCTATAAAAGACATCTAATAAATGTCCAATCTTCCTCCTTCAAGATAGTCTTATTCATAACTGTATCAAGAACATACAATCATGGATTGTTGAATTCAAATATATCCACCAGAATCTCTATCTTCTGGTAATAACCTAATTCAATAGCTTCAATGGAGAGTCTAGTTCATGGATGTGTATTGAATTTAGGTGAATAGCATGCCCACTATCACTTGGCTAATTGTGGCAGTCTAGACTATGCCAGAAAGACTTAATGGTTCTCAAACTAGTGCTCAAACTGTTGGCTTGTGCCTGCAATCCTTGCTACTCAAGAAGCTGAGCTCTAAGGATGAGGATTCAAGGACAGCCCAGGCAGAAAAAGATTATGAGGCTCTTATCTCTAACCACCAAAAAGCCTCAAGTAGAACTGTGGCTCAAGTGGTAGTGTCAGCTTAGAGATTCAGAAAAACTCAGTAGCACCAAGTTCTTAAGTTCAAGCTCCAGTACTGGCACTTAGGAACATGTACACAAACACACAGTAGCACACGGGAACACACACACATACCCTTAATGCTTTTTTTTTTTTTTGGGGGGGGGGAGGTCGGTCATGGGGCTTGAACTCTGGACCTGGACACTGTCCCTGAGCTCTTGAGCTCAGGGCAAGCACTATACCACTTGAGCCACAGCACCACTTCCGGTTTTCTGGTGGTTAATTGGAGATAAGAGTCTCAAGGACTTTTCTGTCCGGGCTGGCTTTGAACTGTGATCCCAGATCTCAGACTCCTGAGTAGCTAGCCACCGACTCCCGGCCCCTAGGCTCTTAAACTACTTTGTTACTCTCTATTTTATCTACTGATAAAACTATACCTTTACTCATCCCCTGTAACACAAATTAATGAGTCATAAGGTTGTGTTACCATAATTTAAACTTTACGGTGAAGGGGAGCAGGACTGGATACTTGTCAAATCGCAGGCAGAACAGACTTTAAAAATATTAGGCATTGAACCCACAGGGGCAGCCATTCAAGCCATAGCTTCTGGATGACGAGTAGAAAGGCAGCGTTCAGCCCATCCCCACCCCCGCAAAAAAAAAAAAAGTGTGAAAGTCGCAGCGTCAGAGCTTTTGCAACACCTGCTTTTACGATCTGTCACGTGTAGGCAAAACTACACAGCACTACTACCTAGAGCCACACAACCATGCCCAGGCTGGGAACACCAACTGGCCTGGAAACCTATCATCATCAAGCAAAGCAGGCAAACCGGCAGAGGCACCCTTCATCTAACTTTTCTTCTGGAAGATGCGCCACGCTGGATCCAGGCAGATCAGGCAAACATAGCGTGCACTAGGACAAACCAAAACAACTAACTGGAGATTGGGGCAACCCAACTGACATTCTCTCTTCATCTTCAGTCTTTGAAGAAATGCCATCCAGTGAAATGAGGTTTGCTTGTCACGCAACCTCCGCGGCCCCCTGCATCCCAGGGGGGCAGGACTGATCGCCCCCCCCCCCATCCCATTACATCGGTTGCTAGCCACAGACTAAATAACACTCCTAACACACGTCCCTGAGCCCTGCCACACTTGGGTCCGAACCATTCCCCAGGAGGGACTGAACGTCAGCAATCTTGGATGGCGTTCGCTCGGATAGCCCTAAGGAATGAGCAATCCCGCCCCGGTGGCTGCGGGCAAGCTCTTACCCATTTGTCCAAGGGGACCTGGGACAGGGAGCCGGTGCCCTGATACAGGTCCAGGCTGAGCTGCTCCAAGCTCAGCTTCTCCTGCAGGAAGTGGCCCAGGTACCTCTGCAGGAGGTACCGACAGGCCCTCTTCTTGATAGACTCAGAAAACGGCCACGGCATCGTGAGGGCTGGCGGCGGGGCGGGCTGGGGCTGAGCGCTGCGGGCGACCGCGGTGGCGGCGGCGGCGGCGGCGGCTCGAACTCCGGGCCGAGGGTCCGGCCTCCAGGCCGCGGCGGCGCCTCCGGGCCGGGCCGGCGTCCCCAGGCCGCGGCGGGGGTCTAAGCCCGGGACGGCCTCTGCATCGCGGCTCGGCGCCGCGGCCCTGAGGAAGACCCCATCGCCCGCGCCCAGCCGCTCGCGCTAGGCCTGGCGGGGACCCGGCGCTGAGGAGTGCCCGTCGCCTCAGACCCGGAGGCCTCCGGAGGGCCCAGAGAGAAGGAGCGGGAGAGCGCGTGGGGAGACGGCCGGGGATCCGAGGGGGACGCCGCCGCGCGACAAATTTGTTGTCATCCACAAGGCGCGCTCCCGACCCTTGGACGCTGCCGGCGCGTTCGCGAGGCGCAGACTCCGCGCTCAAGGCCGGCGCGAGCGGAAGTGACGCCACACTGGGGAGCCGGGGAGGCGGGGAAAAGGGTCCGGGCCCGAACACTTCCGACGGCGAGGAGGCGGGACGCGGGCGGGCGAGGAGGCGGCGCCGCGGGTCCGGCTCCAGTCGCCTCGGGAGGAGGACGAGGAATTGGACGCCCGGTGGGCGCGCGGGTGAGCGGCCGGGACTGTGGGTAGACGGGCGGGATGCCGACGCCGCGCTGCGGACGTGCGGTGAGGAACGACGGGCCGATTGGTCCGGGGTGAGAGGAGTCCGGAGGCGTGTCCGGCCTGGGCCGTTCCGGTCTCTCCGACCCCGGCCTGCCGGGAACTGATGCCGCGGGCGCCACCCCCCCCCGCCCCCGCACCGCGAGGACCGGAGCCCCTCCGGGCATCCCGCCCCGCGCCGGGGTCCGGAGGCCGGTGCCCTTGGCCGGCAGGTTGCCGGCTCCCCGCCCGGGCTGGCATTGTTTCCGAAGCTTCCTCTCCGCCGCCGTTCCTCCGTGGTTTCTGTTTGCTGCGCGCCTCTCGTTGCTCCTGAGTGTGTTAGTTACACCGTCCGCTAGGAAACTTGGGGTTTCGGGGCATTGGCGGGCAAAACTGTGTCCTCCATGCATCCCGAGCCCGCGGGAACCTCAGTGAACTATCTTTGCTCGCCTAGGGATTGCACGACTCTGTCGTTGCCTTTTAGGAGGCAGAGGTGGAGCTGCCTAAGTTAGGCAAACCCTGGAAGGCCTGGGTGCTGTTGTGGGTTCAGAGTCCTGATGCCTGACCCTGAGCCACCTTGAACCTGCCACTGCCCTCCGGGAGCTTGTTGCCTCCTCCGTCCAATGGATCGGATTAATAATACCTTGTGTCCGAGGGTTTCTAGGAAGATTACATGATGTGAGTTAGGGCACGGACCTAAGTAGTCTTGAAACATAAAGCTGTTTAATTAAGGATAGAACATTAAGATAACCCGTGTAAGCTAAGCCACCCGTAGCCCACGCCTGTAATCTTAGCTATTCTGGAGACTGAGATCTGAGGATAGCAGTTCGAAGCCCGCATAGACAGGAAAGTCCGCAAGACCAATTTAAGCACCCCAGAAAAAGCCAGGGTTGGAGCTTTGGTTCTAGTAGTAGAACGCTATATATATATATTTTTTTTTTGGAGGGGGGGGGGGAGTCCGGTCGTGGGGCCTGAACTCTGGCCTGGGCGCTGTCCCTCAGCTCTTCAGCTCCAGGCTAGCGCTCTACCACTTGAGCCACAGCGCCACTTCCGGCTTTTTTTTTCCTGCTTATATGGTGCTGAGGAATCAAACCCAGGGCTTCATGCATGCAAGGCAAGTGCTCTACCACTGCGCCACCTTCCCAGCCCCCAGTGCTATAATAAAAATAAATAAAAAGCTGAGGGACAGCGCCCAGGCCTGAGTTCAGTAAACCTCAGTATCGGGTTCGTTTGGGGATGTATCTCAGGGGTAGTGTGCTTGTCTATCGTATAGGTAGGTGGCCCTGGCTCAGATGTAAGGCTAAAAATTTAAAAAGCAGAACCTTTAAAGAGTTTATGTTCTAAAGTAGAAAGCCATTCACTTATCTAGTAAAGGTTTACTAATTGCCTACTATATGTCAGGGACTATTGTAGATGCAGAGCAGTAAACAGACTAAGCCCCTGCCTTCTTGGAGCTTACATTTTGTTGAAGGGAGAAACTAAGTAGTCAAGCAACGTGCCATTGTTGTGAAAATTCCTAAAGGAAAAATAAAGCAATATAAGGGGAATTCAGATAGAAGACTCAGTAGTTACTTTTTTTAACATATAGTGTGCTAAAAAGACTTATTTAATAAGATGACACATTAACGAAGGCTTAGAGAAAGTAAAGCACATGCATGCCCAAAGAACTGTTTTCCAGGCAAGACTAGAAAGCCAGTGTAGACTGTCGTGGGAGTGTGTTGGTGAGTTCCAGGAACAATGGAAGGGAGAGAAGGAAAGAGTAGAAGCTGAGGTCAGAGAGCAGGTCATTAGGGAATTATAGGAGCTTGCGCTTTACTAGAGAATGATAAGCTAGCTTATGTTTTCTTAGAATCATATGCAACTACAGTGTTAAAAATAGCCTGGCCGGGTGCTGGTGGCTCACGCCTGTAATCCTAGCTACTCAGGAGGCTGAGATCTGAGGATCGCAGTTCAAAGCCAGCCCGGGCAGGAAAGACCGTGAGACTCCTATCTCCAATAAACCACCAGAAAACCGGAAGTGGCGCTGTAGCTCAAGTGGTGGAGCGCTCACCTTGAGCTGAAAAGCTGAGGGACAGCGCTCAGGCCAGAGTTCAAGCCCCACGACCGACAAAAATAAATAAATAAAAATAGCCTGGCTGGGATGTAGCTCAGTGGCAAAGCGCTTGCCTAGCAAGTGCAGTGTCCTGGGTTCAATCCCCAGTACAAAAAGAAAAGGCAAAAAAAAAAAAAAAAAATACAATTAAAATAGTCTAGTATAGGGTTCGGAGGACTAAAGGTGAATACAGCAAGACCTGTTAGAAGGATATTTTAGTAACCCACACTGCAGTGGAATGTGATTCGAACCAGAATGTGAAGATGGTTAGAGGAAGCTGGGGTCTACGTATATTTTGAGGGTAATAAGACAATTGCTAAGTAATAATTATAACACTTGTCATAAAAGGAGTATAAACAAAGTGGTGTGAAAAGTCAAAGTTGGACTCTCATCTGGGAGTGAACTAGAGCTTGGGAGGTTTAAAACTGGCTTTTCAACAAATGGGTGAGACTTTGAACTTCTTTCAGTAACTGTTGTACCAATACCTTTCCTTCACTGTATAGAATTTTACTCAGGCTGTTCATAGGGAGCCTGCAATTTCAAATATCAGAAAGGAGAATAAAAATTGAAGATTTTTCAATATCAAGCACATTCCAGCAAAGTGTTATGTGTTACCTTTTACACTTTATACGTCTTAGGAGGAATTCAGCATAAATGTTAAGACAGTGTTCCTAAAACACGGTGCTAATACCTAGCATTAACTGAGGAAGATGAAAACTGTTACCAAACTAAATATTATCAGCTATTTAAGAGTTATATAGAAGGATTTGAAATGACAGGTTATAAGATATATACCATAGACTCATTCAAAGAAATCCATGTTAACTTGAATTCATCAATAAAAATCATTGGAGAGCAGGCTCCCTACCAGCCAGCAGTAGCAACCACAACCTTTACATTCTTTACATAATGTAAAGAATATAACTTGGAGTCAAATGCCTTAAGTTTGGGGGCTGCCCTCTTCTTTAAATACCTTAAGGTGTATTGGTGTATTGTCTTTTATTTTAGTACAGTAATAGGCATCAGACTATAGGCATCATTGAGCTATGTACCCAACCCCAGCAGAATTTTTTTAAGACAGGGTCTTGCTATATAGCCCAGATTGACCTCAAAATCACACTTTTTTGGTGGGGGGGGGGGGGGGGGGCGGGGGGAGATGGGCTGTGACATTTGAACTCAGGGCCTGGGTGCTGTTCCTGAGCTGTTTTAGCCAAGGATAGCACTCTTATCACTTTGAGCCACAGCACCACTCTGGTTTTTCTGATGGATAATTGGAAATAAAGAGTCATGGACTTTCCTGCCCAGACTGGCTTTGAACCTTAATTCTCAGATCTCAGCCTACTGAATCGCTAGGATTACAGGTGTGAGCTACCAGTTCCAAATTCACAATCTTTCTGTCTCCACTCCTGAGTGCTGGGATTACAAGGGTGTGCCACTACAGATATTTCTTGAAAGTACCAGGTACTCAAAACCATTCTAAGCACTTTCTATATATTCACTCATTTAGTCCTGTCAGCATCACTTTAAGGTTCACTTTAGAAAAAAATGTCTTAACTGAAAGAGTCTAAAACATTTTCCCTGAGTTGCAGAATTCTAACTCTAATCAATTTGACAGCTTACTTACCACACCATACTGGGTACTTGTACATGTTGAGAGGATTCTCCAGATGGTGGTATATGGCACAAATAAAAATGACTAATGTTCTGCATTCCAGCCCTCAGCTGGTTATTAAAATGTCAGCTGAAAAGTCAGAGTATTTGCCATCTCTACTACTCTGGAAATCTTTCTGCTCAGACCAGATATATTACCACAACTCTCCTCATTGTGTCCTGAAAGATAGAGCTTACCTCTGCATTTCTCCACCTCTTCAAATGCCATTATTTTGTGATAGAACAAGATAAAGTTGAGTTAGTTAAGAGGAGAATAAGAGATTAATAATTACTATCTTGATAACCTATTTCATGTATCCTCCAACACACACACACACACACATACACACACACACACACACACACACACACACACACACACACACACACACGGCTGAGAATATGGTTTAGTGGTACAATGCTTTGCCTAGCATGCACGAAGCCCTGAGTTCAATTCCTCAGTACCACATACACAGAAAAAAAAACAGAAGTGGCGCTGTGGCTCAAGTCAAGCAAAAGCTCAGGGACAGTGCCCAAGCCCTGAGTTCACGGCCCCCATGACTGGGGGAAAAAAACGCTAACACAGCCAAAAAGTTATGCCAACAGATGGAGAAAAAGCTGGATCCTGAATAATTTATGTGCGATGTTTTAAGGAGTCGTTTTTGGAAACATTATACGAGGTGATGCAATGTACCAGAATAACTGATGGCAATTGTATGGAATTCCAATTTTTGAAGGCTCTGGCAACAGAATATTAGCCTGTGGTAGAGAAGCATGTGAAGTTGAGAGGGAAGCAGTGAGGTTTTCTGATTTTTATCTCTTTATTGATTTGCTTTATGTTGGTTAGAATGCAGTTTAAATATAGTGCTAAGAGTCCTTATTTCCTAGAGGGTTGCATTGTAATAAGAAACAATAATTCCTGCATATTTTTTAAGCAGTCAGTGTTGGTCTTTTTCTTAGGATCTATTTACAGTATCTGGTTTTGAAGAAAAAGTTTATAGGATTATAGTGTTGCCACTTATTTATAGATCTTAAAACTTCTCACATTAGCTCAGTGTGTCTCTTTACCCTAAGCTTTCTCAACAAGAAAACCCTAAAATTCTGTTATATCAGTTTGTGGTTTTTTTGGTAACATGTGTCCTTGCTGAAAGGGGAGGCAAAGTAAATGTGTAAATCGGCATAATGGAAAAATTGCTATTTTTGCAAGTGCTTCTGATTGAATATT